CCTCAACTTCTTTATTGTTATAAACGTCCAGGACCACACACCACACACACACACACATTTATAATAACCCAGTCTAAGACTCCCCACACAGATTATGATTGTCTATGGGGGTTTCTCCAATAAAATAGCATATTGAATCTGACTCTCTAATCAACATACATGTTCATATGTCTTCAAGAGCAAAAAAACTAAAACAGGTCATAATTAGTTGAGTCAATGTAGTGGTTCACGTACTGTGTGACATACAACAGCATACATTACATCCCATTATGTCCATTATATTATTTATATACTTCCCTCTCACATAAATATATACATATTAGCACATTTTTGGTGTTACAATTTTCACAGATGGTTTCAAAAGACAGAATGCTGACAGCAGGTGGTACACTTATTTTAGCATGTCAAAACAATTTTTTTTCACATCTTTTGGACCCATTAATTTCTTTAACAGACCAAATAAAAAGTATTAAATAGAAAAAATACAGCATAAAAAAAAACAGTATGAATAAAAATGTAATTGAGTCAATAAACCAGGTATTAAGAGTTGTCCGTGCTCTGTGTTTTCATATAGATGTGCAGAGAAGACACTGGACGCGTTCCAGGCCGACTACGTCACAGACGTTGCATTGCATCAACAAATGGTTGCGTGCTTCGTCATCAACTGTGCAGTTTGCCATCAGATTGCAATATCATACGATTTGGTTAGCGGATATATTAAAACACCCATCTAGATCTGACATGTGTCTGCAATGTAGTCAGCCTGGAACGCAACTATTGCCTTATAGTCAGTGCTTTGAGTGACTGTTAGAGCCTGGTAGAAACACTCCCTTAAATCCACCACCCTCCCCCTTTTAACCTCAACCTAATACTGTACTGACACCAGTTCATGATAAATGAATGTTAAATTCTGTAATTATAAAACATGTTGTGAAAATGTTCAACCATAGTAGCAAAACCCTTCATATCTTCGCACTTAGTGAATTAGTTTAACTGATGAGGCTTTCAGAAGTGGGACAAACCTAAAGTGAAAAAGCTTTAATTAAATTAAAAAGTATCGCCAATTTTTCCCCCCTGTGCTCTAAGATACTCCAAAAGAGCGATTAACCATAACCCTGTCTGAATCCCCTCTAACTCCAGCCACCCAAACGCACAAAATACAAAAGATAACTTGTGGGCAAATATTTAGAGGTAATTACTAATTAGACAGTAAATTAGTTCTTATCATGGTCCCAACATGTTTTGTTGGGGGGCCCATATCTCAATTTCGCATGCACTTTTTCAGCGGCATTGTCCTCACAAATTCTTGCATGGACACACATTCTCAGGAAACACAATACATAGCAACGTTTCAATCACTCACACCAACCTAGTTCTTTAGCAACATGTGTGCATTACCTTAAAACATATCCTGAATGCAAGCATAAAAATGTAACTGGAATCTAAACAACTAAAATAAATTATTCTTATAATATACTGTTAGCATTTACAAAATAATTTATCAATCCATGCATTTTTTTTAGTTTCAAAAGAGAGATGTTGCTCTACGGTAGTACATAGTAATGTTTCAGACATTAATTTAATAAAATTACAGGGTCAGTTCCTAACTGAAAGCAATAAAACTGAGCAATATTGGACAAGTGTGATAAAATATTTTGCAGACCTTAGGTTGACGTATGACAAAGCTTCAAGCACTTGACCTAAATGCCCCTCAAATAAGGGGAGTCATAAGCAAAGAAATTCCACATTGGAGCTAGTCTAGGTAACAATCAATCAGACTATGTCAAATCACCTGGCTGAACAGAAACAGAACTTGGAAACCAGGTCCAGCCCATCAGAACCATTGTTGCATAAATGCACAGTTCAATATGGATCACTTTCAAATAAGAAAATTAATTTGAAAGTCAGTCATTTCTTGCACAGAACACTGAATTAAGTTGAACGGTGGTCCAGTCTGCAGCTAACAGGCACTGCCACTCCAGAGCACTGCAACACAGGGAATACTGGTTTCCATTTCAAAGCAGCAGCCTGAAACAGCAAACAATAAGCGCTCAATTAATTGGTACACAACACCGTATACACCAGCCATACTCAAGGCAGACCGCAGGCTGGATCTGGACCCAGAACGGGGTCAATACAGACCGTGGGTCCAGACGCTAAAAAAAAATTGAGGGGGGGAATTCGGTCGGGATTCGACTCATGGTATCAGATGAAAAAACGTAAGACATGAATGAAAATGATCTATTTTGGATGCATGAATCGGGTGGGGGTCGGACTGACGTTTAAACTAAATCTGTTATTCCAGCTGAAATGTGGAACAGAGGAGACCTCATAACTGAACAGCCTTGCATAACTGACATCTCTGCAGACAGAGCGCACTTTTAAATCAAATGTTTAGTTAGCATGGATTAATTATGTCACAGGGAGTTTAGGTGGGACTGTTTGATGATGTCACATATAGTTAATCCCTGTGTAAATTCTCCCGCTCTGGAAACATTGCTCAAGGGCCCACTATATTATACGATTCATCCAACTGCATAGATACTAAGAACTATGAACCCTCCAACCCCAATCAGTTCAATAACTTCTAGTTTGGGCACTTTCTCAATAGTATCATAGCACTGTCCACTTAACAATTCATTTAATTTTACCATTGTTACGGCTAAGATAAATTATTTAGATTAAAAACGAATTAAGATTGAAGAGTTGCCTCTAAACGGGATGCATTTGAGAAAGATTTTGTTTGCACTTTTAATCATCTTGCATGTACATTACCTGTATCAGGTGAGTTTAGTGTTGTGCAGCTGAAATCCTCCTGTGTGCAATGACTCCACATATTGCAGAGCACTTTGCATGGAGGTCAAGCAGTAGCCCTCCTCTCCAATCAGATACCTTAGACAGAAGAACAGTTAGAACTCTGCACCATTGTTGTACAACAGTGGTCACCAACCTTTTCCGAGTCAAGATCACTTTCGCAGTCAAAAAGCATGCCGTGATCTACTGCTCAGATTTCTTTTTTTTTTACATAACTTTACAAATGTAAGCCTATGCAACATTAACCTTATAATACAGTAGGCCTAATACATACTATGCTTGGCCTGCCGATATTGTTCTTAGACCAAATTATATTTAAAAACTCTAGCTTTGATAACAAAATAGATGTGGTTGTATTACTTGCGAGGCACAGCTGAGCATAAATTGAAATGATTTGCTTTTTTATTTTACTGGACTGGTGGTACCTGCATCTGATGGTCAGTGTCAGCAGAGGGTAGAAAGCAGCAGAGGGTCCGCCTCTCACCGTCCCTGCTCTCTACTTTCCTCTGGTGAGACTGGGGAGTATTCATTCCGCCAAACAGTTGCAAATCGTTTAGTTTTGCAACTAAAACAAGATTTTCTATTGGACAAATGCAGGTAGGTCCATCCCCGTTTACTTCCGTTAAAGAAACGTTTAGCAACATAATCTGTGGAATAAAAACACCCCTGACCAGAGAGGGAACACTGTCTTCCACCTGATGGTGAAACTCGAGACGCATTATTTCTATCTCATGCACAAATTAATGATGTTCCCATAACCAGAGAACTCCCAGTGCACTACTTTTGTCCTAAAAAAGCATCCTCAGCACCCCTACTTCCCACGGCTATGCTCATTGCTGTATTCTTTGATAGTTTCTGTACATGGTTTTAAATGTCATGAAATGTCATGTAGGCTAGTATAACATTTTGCTGCTGGTCGTGGTACACTGGCAATGTAGGAATGGTGATTTCAACTTTCCGATTGGCCAGCGCAGTAGGCATACTTGATTTAGTCACAGCTGTCCTGGTCCACCATGTAGGCAGAGTTTATCCCTTCAAAATGTGAACCCTGCCTACCTGGCGCGCAGGGCTTTGAATCAAGTGCACTTGCCACCAACAGAGAAAGACTAATACAAATTTTAAAAAGCAGCTCAAGGCTACAGAAATGTTTGGTGATCAACTAGGAATACCTTGAAGATCGGTTGGTGACCACCGTTGTACAATTTACAGATAGATCAATAAAAAGAAAAATCTGCCTAACCACATCTTGGTAATCATCACAGCAGATTAAGTGATGAATACCAATACCTGATATTTTATTCATTCATTTTATTTAGTCCTAAACCAATCAACACTCACATAATTTCCTTCTGAGGATTATCATAAAGATTGTGTTCAGCATCAACTTCCATTCTCATATGCGATCATTCCGTGACTAAACAACAGGAAATGGTCCAGTGAAGCAAGAGTTGTTGTTTTTTAGGCCCATTTCGATATAAAAAGGGGGAGGGAAGAGCAGATATGTGGAGGGTGAAAAGGCAGGACAGTAAGCAGGGTGGAGGTTTTCCTTAAGGGAGCGGTGCAAGGCAGGAACCTCGTCAACTCTGGGTGACCTTACGCTAATGAGACCAAGACACGAGCGCAACTCAAGCCAGGGCTGTGTGTGTCAGAGAGAAAGAAAGATTGAAAGATGTCTATCCCTATGCTTCTATGGTGGGGGTAGGGAGGGGGTTGAATGCTTTTCTATCAATAATAAGAATGTAAATAACATCACCCCTTCCTATTTACTTTTTTGACTAGTCATTTTGCAAATCACAGCAAGGCCTCTGTAGGGCCTTGGACCCAGTGAGCCCCGCCTTGCCTATACTCTTCTGCTTTCAAACCACTGAGCTGCATAAACATCAAGTAAGCTTTTATTTGTATTTTTGTAGGGAAGGAAAACCAAAATATCCCCATATTCCTTCATCACTGCCAATCTAACCAGCCTGTTAAAGGCTGTTTTTACTGAGATAAATAGACCTCTCGGGTGTGGTCTGAGCTGACACGCAAGGAAACCCTGATAGAGACTGAGCCAGAGGAGGAGACAAGTCTCCAGAGTCAGGATTTGAGATTGAAAAGGGTTAAGTAGCGTGTCCCAGGTGGAATGGAGTTGGGGGACATGTTTTCTGTGAGGTGAGCTGGGATTTAAGTCTGTGTGAGTTGGAGACCTACCCTTCATGAATGAACTCCTCCAGGGCAGCACACTCTGAAACCAGCTGAGGCAGCTCACAGTGCAGAGCCACATAGGAGAGGATGGGCAACAAGTCATCTGCCCCACTGACAAAGAAACAGAGAAGAGTAACAGAAGTTAGTAACAGAAAGCCAAGAAAATAGTTAAAAACCAAATTATTTTTGAAATAGTTGTGCTAGAATATCAAGTGTTAAACATTTTCTAGTAATCTGTTGTGGTACATTTTTTCACTGATGACAGGATGATGATAACATTCCCACTGTTCCAGTGACCGTTGTTTATCATCCATCACAGATTGCTTTGCAGAATGAGAAGGTGGATGGCTGTCCCTTCAATGAGCCAGTCAGAAATAACCAAATCTCTGGTACGCAGGTTAAAGAGGTGTGGACCGTGCCATATAACCCCAGAGAGCCAGGACTCACACTTTACACCCATAATCACAACACAAAAATCACACCCTTATTACAGACACACACATTACTAGAAACTTCAAATGAGTCTATAAATTCCAGTGTTAGCACGAATATCAAATTCAGGGTCAAACTTGGAGCAACATAATGCAACAAGTCATAGACTACGTTGACATAATTGAAAAGTAATTAGTGTTGTTGATCTGAAAGATCTGATTGAAATAACAAGTGAACTGGACAATTCGAGGGGGAAAAGGAGATATTGAAAAAGACAAAGTGAAGTAGAGAGTGTGAGGGAGGAATCAATGCACCATCTAAACCGATGTGAAATACATTTTCCATAACCAAAAATATTGTTGTTTCAGCTGGTGTACAAAACTGAAAGTAAAAGACTCAAAAACAAAACTTAACGGGAAGCATAGAAATAGTGCACATAGAACAGATACCGCTTCTTAGACTTGCTTTCAAGTATAATGACAGATCTATAACTCACATTTCTATGTGGATTTGGTCGGTTCACCCAAAAGGTTACATACTGCCACTTTAAAATACAAAAACTGTCATGGGAAGCACAAATAAAACACTAATTACCCAGAAAAACTGTTGTATTCCTCCACAAATAAGTCCTCAAACAACACTTAAAATTGCCTGAATGGCACCAGAACATCAAGATTAAATGTATTTAGAATTTTGTTAGAGCAATATGGTGCATTAAAACTAAAAGCAGATTTCCCTAGCTCGGTGACAGGGAAAAATGATAGTGGGTTGATGTGCAAACATGCGTACTGTATTCATTCATACTTTCTTGTGAACACTTTATAAAAGTAATTAGTGAGAATAATGGTCACATTTAATCCATTAACATTTATTTTGCAGTCTCAAACTGACTCCTTGGGAGATTGTAAAAAAATAAAAATATTTTTTTTTTAACCTTTACTTAACTAGGCAAGTCAGTTAAGAACAAATTCTTATTTACAATGACGGCCTACACCGGCCAAACCCGGACGACGCTGGGCCAATTGTGCGCCGCCCTATGGGACACCCAATCACGGCCGGTTGTAATACAGCCTGGAATCGAACCAGGGAGTCTGTAGTGACGCCTCAAGCACTGAGATGCAGTGCCTTAGACCACTGCGCAACTCAGGAATAAAATAAGCCTTTCTTTAAATACTATGGGTAAACTCTTAAAGTGAAACACACTGATGAAGCAGCAACAATAGAAACGGCAGTACGCCATTGCCATGTCCAAAAACAAAACATCACACAAGTTAAAATATATTGACTAGACCCAAATGCAAAACGTATCTACAGTAAGACTGAAAAGGGACGTTTCTGAACTCATATTCCATTGCATAACAGTCACCAGCGGCCACTAGATTATGGCGCTCCTAAAAATATGCTGCATCCAGCAGAGCTAAGAAGTGGTATCCAGCGAACCACATCCCCAAAGTCTGACTGCTCTGCACACTCCAATACAATGAGACAAATATAGAGCATGAGCTTAGGGCTGTGGCAGTAATTGGTAAGCCAAATGACCGCTGTCTCCCTTATAACTGTTTGAATAGAAACAAAAAATATACAATAACATATATATAAAATAATAATAAATATATAAACACACACACACACACACACACACACACACACACAGTACCAGTCAAAAGTTTGGACACACCTACTCATTCAAGGGATTTACTTTATTTTTAATATTTTCTACATTGTAGAATAATAGTGAAGACATCAAAACTATGAAATAACACATATGGAATCATGTAGTAAACAAAAAAAGTTAAATCAAAATATATTTTATATTTGAGATTCTTCAAATAATAATAATAATAATAATAATAAGCCATTTAGCAGACGCTTTTATCCAAAGCGACTTACAGTCATGCGTGCATACATTTTTGTGTATGGGTGGTCCCGGGGATCGAACCCACTACCCTGGCGTTACAAGCGTCGTGCTCTACCAGCTGAGCTACAGAGGACCACAAATAGCCACCCTTTGCCTTGATGACATCTTTACAGTTAAGTTCAGGGATTTAGGTGGGAATTCAGGTATTAAAATTTGTCAAATTTCACTTTTGTTTTCTTAGAAGTGTACAAAACATTAGGAACACCTTCCTAATATTGAGTTGCACCGCCTTTTGCCTTCAAAACAGCCTCAATTCGTCGGGGCATGGACTACAAGGTGTTCGAAAGCGCTCCACAGGGATGCTGGCCTATGTGGACTCCAATGCCTCCCACATTTGTGTCAAGTTGGCTGGATGTCCTTTGGGTGGTGGATCATTCTTGGGAAACTGTTGAACGTGAAAAACCCAGCAGGTTTGCAGTTCTTGACACAAACCGGAGCGCCTGGCACCTACTACCATACCCCGTTCAAAGGGAACTTAAATATTTTGTCTTGCCCATTCACCCTCAATAGCACACATACAAAAATCCATATCTCAATTGTCACAAGGCTTAAAAATCCTTCTTTAACCTGTCTACTCCCCTTCATCTACACTGATTGAAGTGGATTTAACAAGTGACTTCAATAAGGGATCATAGCTTTCACCTGGTCAGTCTCATGGAAAGAGCAGGTGTTCTTAATGTTTTGTATGCTCAGTATATATGAATAGATTAACATAAAGGGGTGGAACAGGGCTGCAACCACTAAACACTTGCTCCGTCTAGGCCTACCGGCACTCACCTGCGCTATCTAGACTGCCTCATGAATTACTGTGTCACGTTCTTTTGCATAATTCAACAAGTGTGTCAATAGCAGGACACCCTCGGATCTATACATACTTTACATTGTTTGAGAGATCAGATATAACATCACTATAATCAGTGTTTATTTTCAGAAGCTGCTTTCATTTTAGTGCATCTAAATTGTAAACATTAACTGTATTAAATAACTTTTCAATTCCACAAAGAATGAACACCCATCAAAATAAAGTTATTCGTTTTTTTGTGATGTAAGTGTCGAGACGATGCGTTACTTCCCAGACTAAGCTTTAGCGTTCTTGAGATGCAATGGAAACAATGTATTACCAGGGTTTGACAGGTCATTACAAACATTTCCGCAGTCGTAATGTTAATGTGAAAAAATGCTTGGCGATGGTCTTGTAGCCCATTCCAGCCTTGTGTAGGTCTACAATCTTGTCCCTGACATCCTTGGAGAGCTCTTTGGTCTTGGCCATGGTGGAGAGTTTGGAATCTGATTGATTGCTTCTGTGGACAGGTGTCTTTTATACAGGTAACAAGCTGAGATTAGGAGCACTCCCTTTAAGATTGTGCTCCTAATCTCAGCTCGTTACCTGTATAAAAAGACACCTGGGAGCCAGAAATCTTTCTCATTGAGAGCAGGTTAAATACTTATAAATATAAATAAATAAATAAGCCATTTAGCAGACGCTTTTATCCAAAGTGACTTACAGTCATGCGTGCATACATTTTTATGTATGGGGGGTCCCGGGGATCGAACCCACTACCTTGGCGTTACAAGCGCCGTGCTCTACCAGCTGAGCTACAGAGGACCATCATACTTATTTTCCTCATTAAAATGCAAATCAATTTATAACAGTTTTGACATGCGTTTTTCTGGATTTTTGTTGTTGTTATTCTCTCTCACTGTTGAAATAAATCTACCATTCAAATTATAGACTGATCATTTCTTTTTTTTTGGGGGGGGGGGGGGGGGGGGGGGGATGGATCAGCTTAATATTGCAGATAGATTGTATCTTCTATCAATGTAATTGTCTGCATCACTTCCAATCCCCCATGTTTTATTTTTTATATATATATATATATATATATATATATATATATATATATATATATATACACTCCCCTTTATTACTTTTCAACCCCGCCATCTTTTCCCTACTTGGAGTAAACTAGTGAACAACAACGCCCAGGCCTCCACTTCCAGTCCATACCCACTATCTACACCTTATGGACACAGTCAATTTTACAATAATTCTATTATATATATATATATAAAAAAAATGTTTTGCTCCTGAACTTTTTCTACTCTCAACCTCTCCGATCATTTTCATGATGTCCATCCGGTTTGCCTCTACATGCCACATCCCTCCAACTGTGCTCCTCCCCAAAAGCTCCCAACATACAACCTATATACTTATTATGGACACAGTATGCTTACATTATTAGTTGTCTTGTTATTAGTCCCATCCTTCAACTCTATTCAATACCTCCCATCTATCTCTTAACACCATCCATATAGGATTTCTATTTGCCATATATATATATATATATTTTTTTTTTTTCCTCAATCGTGATGTTTTACAAAAGTTCTGAACCTTTCTATTCTCATTGCTTCTACAGATTGTGAATTAAAAATAAACATTTTTGCTAAAAGTATTATTATATTATTGATCGATTGACTATGACTTTTCAGATCACCCAGTAATGCTATCTGCAAGGTTAGCTCCAGGTAAATATTGCAATCCTTTAGCCATTCCTGGACCTGTGTCCAAAAACAAGCTACAAATGGACAGAACCAAAACAAATGATCTACTGATTCTGTCTCTTCACAGCAAAATCTGCAGAGCTGGGAAGATTGTATCCCCCATATAAAGACTGATCATTTCTTTGTCAGTGGGCAAACGTACAAAATCAGCAGGGGATCAAATAATTTTTTCCCTCACTGTATGCCATAATTGACTTGAATTGGGACGCACGTCCTATTTATTATATTTCTATGTGTGCTGCTGCATTCTGGGGTGCATTGCCTAGGCAACCGAAGACTGCTTTGCTACAACACCTTGCTTATTTCAGCAAGGAGCAACAAAGTTTCATCACGTTGTTAAGAGTCCATGTTACCGCAGAAACAGACTCAACCGCACGAATGCCCGGCCGTCCAGTCTTCAGGCAGCGGTTTGTTCCCAAAATAAAATCACGTTTTTTAAACTGTTATTTTACTTCCATGACGGTCTTCACCCATAACCGTCGGTTACACGTTTATGCAGTAATTGTGCCAGCTCTACATGAGCTATGCCCTCAACACTCCAAACAAACAATATGAGACAGAGAGAACGATTTGTTTTGTTGGTCATGTGGGCATAGAATTAGAGCCCACATCCTCAAACAGTTTTAGTTTTAGAGGCGCCTGATGTAAGCTCATGCAATGGGCCTATGACTGGCTGGAGTCAAAGACTGGAGACACCCAAGTCATAGACTGTTCTCTCTGCTACCGCACGGCAAGCGGTACCGATACACCATGTCTGGAATCAACAGGACCCTGAACAGCTTTTACCCCCAAGCCATAAGACTGCTAAATAGTTAGTTAAATAGTTAATCAATAGCTACCTGGGCTAACTCTTGACTCATCACATATGCTGCTGCTTATTATCTATCTTGTTGCCTAGTCCCTTTATACATACCTATATGTACATTGTCTTCGGAAAGTATTTCCGACCCCTTGACTTTTTCCACATTTTGTTACAGCCTTATTCTAAAAGGGATAAAACCTTTTTTTTATCAGAAATCTACACACAAGACCCCATAATGACAAAGCGAAAACAGGTTAATATTTTTGCTAAAAAAATCTATTACATAAGTATTCAGTCCCTTTGCTATGAAACTCGAAATTTAGCTCATGTGCATCCTGTTTCCATTGATCGTCCTTGAGATGTTTCTGCAACTTGATTGGAGTCCACCTGTGGTAAATTCAATTGATTGGACATGATTTGGAAAGGCACACACACACCTGTCTATATAAGGTCCCACAGTTGACCATGCATGTCAGAGCAAAAACCAAGCCATGAGGTCGAAGGAATTGTCCGTAGAGCTCCGAGACAGGATTGTGTCGAGGCACAGATCTGGGGAAGGGTACCAAACTGAGCAATCGGGGGAGAAGGGCCTTGGTCAGGGAGGTGACCAAGAACCCGATTGTCACTGACAGAGCTCCAGAGTTCCTCTGTGGAGATGGGAGAACCTTCCAGAAGGACAACCATCTCTGCAGCACTCCACCAATCAGGCCTTTATGGTAGGGTGGCCAGACGGAAGCCACTCCTCAGTAAAAGGCACATGACAGCCCGCTTAGAGTTTGCCAAAGGGCACGTAAAGACTCTCAGACCATGAGAAACAAGATTCTCTGGTCTGATGAAACCAAGATTGAACACTTTGGACTGAATGCCAAGCGTCACGTCTGGAGGAAACCTGGCACCATGTTTTTCAGCAGCAGGAACTGGGAGACTAGCCAGGATCAAGAGAAAGATGAACGAAGCAAAGTACAGAGATCCTTGATGAAATCCTGCTCCAGAGCGCTCAGGACCTCAGACTGGAGCAAAGGTTCACCTTCAAACAGGACAACGACCCTAAGCACACAGCCAATCTCTGAATGTCCTTGAGTGGCCCAGCCAGAGCCCGGACTTGAACCCGATCTAACATCTCTGGAGAGACCTGAAATTAGCTGTGCAGCAACGCTTCCCATCCAACCTGACAGAGCTTGAGAGGATCTGCAGAGATGAATTGGCGAAACTCCCCAAATACAGGTGTGCCAAGCTTGTAGTGTCATACCGAAGAAGACTTGAGGCTGTAATCGCTGCCAAAGGTGCTTCAACAAAGTACTGACTAAACGGTCTGAATACTTATGTAAATGTGATTGGTTTTATTTTTTATAAATTAGCTAATATTATCAGGTATTGTGTGTAGATTGATGAGGTGGGGAACATTTTTTTAAATCAATTTTAGAATAAGGCTGTAACCTAACAAAATGTGGAAAAAGTCAAAGGGTCTGAAATACTTTCCGAAGGCACTGTACATACAGTGGGGAAAAAAAGTATTTAGTCAGCCACCAATTGTGCAATATTCTAATGTTTGATCAGAAAGATGTGAGTCAGAATTTTACTGCACTACTTCACTCTCTAAGTAGAAAAACCTGAACAGATACCATAAATTACTGACAGTTTCACTTCTCTTACAGTATGTGTTGATGTGTGTGTTCACATCGGAAGTGTTAGCTAGCATATCACATTTTGCATGTTTAATATGATTAGACATAGTGGGGAAAAAAGTATTTAGTCAGCCACCAATTGTGCAAGTTCTCCCACTTAAAAAGATGAGGCCTGTAATTTATCATAGGTAACCGTCAACTATGACAGACAAATTGAGGAAAAAAAATCTAGAAAATCACGTTGTAGGATTTTTAATGAATTTATTTGCAAATTATGGTGGAAAATAAGTATTTGGTCAATAACACAAGTTTCTCAATACTTTGTTATATACCCTTTGTTGGCAATGACACAGGTCAAACGTTTTCTGTAAGTCTTCACAAGGTTCACACACTGTTGCTGGTATTTTGGCCCATTCCTCCATGCAGATCTCCTCTAGAGCAGTGATGTTTTGGGGCTGTCGCTGGGCAACACGGACTTTCAACTCCCTCCAAAGATTTTCTATGGGGTTGAAATCTGGAGACTGGCTAGGCCACTCCAGGACCTTGAAATGCTTCTTACGAAGCCACTCCGTTGCCCGGGCTGTGTGTTTGGGATCATTGTCATGCTGAAAGACCCAGCCACGTTTCATCTTCAATGCCCTTGCTGATGGAAGGAGGTTTTCACTCAAAATCTCATGATACATGGCCCCATTTATTCTTTCCTTTACACGGATCAGTCGTCCTGGTCCCTTTGCAGAAAAACAGCCCCAAAGCATGATGTTTCCACCCCCATGCTTCACAGTATGTATGGTGTTCTTTGGATGCAACTCAGCATTCTTTGTCCTCCAAACACGACGAGTTGAGTTTTTACCAAAAAGTTATATTTTGGTTTCATCTGACCATATGACATTCTCCCAATCCTCTTCTGGATCATCCAAATGCACTCTAGCAAACTTCAGACGGGCCTGGACATGTACTGGCTTCAGCAGGGGGACACGTCTGGCACTGCAGGATTTGAGTCCCTGGCGGCATAGTGTGTTACTGATGGTAGGCTTTGTTACTTTGGTCCCAGCTCTCTGCAGGTCATTCACTAGGTCCCCCCGTGTGGTTCTGGGATTTTTGCTCACCATTCTTGTGATCATTTTGACCCCACGGGGTGAGATCTTGTGTGGAGCCCCAGATCGAGGGAGATTATCAGTGGTCTTGTACGTCTTCCATTTCCTAATAATTGCTCCCACAGTTGATTTCTTCAAACCAAGCTGCTTACCTATTGCAGATTCAGTCTTCCCAGCCTGGTGCAGGTCTACAATTTTGTTTCTGGTGTCCTTTGACAGCTCTTTGGTCTTGGCCATAGTGGAGTTTGGAGGAGTGACTGTTTGAGGTTGTGGACAGGTGTCTTTTATACTGTTAACAAGTTCAAACAGGTGCCATTAATACAGGTAACAAGTGGAGGACAGAGGAGCCTCTTAAAGAAGAAGTTACAGGTCTGTGAGAGCCAGAAATGTTGCTTGTTTGTAGGTGACCAAATACTTATTTTCCACCATAATTTGCAAATAAATTCATTAAAAATCCTACAATGATTTTCTGGAGAAAAAAATTCTCAATTTGTCTGTCATAGTTGACGTGTACCTATGATGAAAATGACAGGCCTCTCATCTTTTTAAGTGGGAGAACTTGCACAATTGGTGGCTGACTAAATACTTTTTTTCCCCCACTGTATCTACCTCAATTACCTCATACCCCAGCACATCATCTCGGTACGGGTACCCCGTGTATATAGCAAAGTTATCATTACTCATGTTGTATTTATTCCTTTTGTTATTTTTTTATATTTTCTCTTATTTTCTCTTCATTGTTGGGAAGGGCCCGTAAGTAAGCATTTCACTGTTAAGCCCTACTCGGACGGGATAAGTTTCACTGGGGGAGCTCAGGTAATGTAATTATGTGCACGAGCACAAATCACCACGTCCTTCATTTTTGTCCCGTCTGAATCTGCTATGGCAGTCATTTTTACTTGGCAGGAAGTATCATCCCAGCCCTAAAAACCTACAGTTTTTTGGCAAACTCCAAGGTCCTCTGATAATACTTATCTTGTGCGAATAGTCATCCCTGTGTTTTGAGGGATGTTACAGAGTTTAACAGGTGCTGCATCCCAGATTGGGTAAGAACATGGGAACAAAGTGATGCTTTAAACAAAGTGCTATGCATGTAGCCTACAGATGAATGAGCTGTTTTGTCATATCAACTTTCCTAGTGCCATACTCTTTTAAAAGATAGTGGACAATATTGTGCCAATTAATTGATAAAATTGCCAAATACGTCAGGTAATTAAATGTCTGCATAGCTTACAGTTCATGGTTCTTATTGATATGCATTATTATTTTGACTTTCTCCAAACTGAAGGCCATTAGGTAAATATTAGGCTATCCTTAGACATTTTAAATATCTTCACGCCTAGAAGAGCCTCCAGGCTTCTGTCATAACAGTCAATTGTGAATGAGAGGGGAAAAAATGTACGGGCAGTTTGGTAAAACTAATCCCGTCCGAATCGTCCACTGGAAAAACTGACATGCTGGGGTAATAATTACATAACCGACGTTCTATAGTAATACTAGTCCCGTGCGAATAGGGCTTTAGTCTAATTAGATTTTGATGCAGACAGACATTTACTGAGTGTAATTTACGTAACGTGTGGACTGGCTCTTAAATGTCTGATCTACCGCATCAGTTTCCAGCCTACACTAGCAAGCCTCATTAAATCCTCCTCAAGTGGTAGACTCTTTAATCAAGCAAACAACCCAGTAAACTTTCTCACTACATTATCCCCCCACCCCAACCTCAAATGACTTAGCGTCTAAACTCTGCATACCCTTTACATGGTCTCTGACCTATAGCTCTTTCTGCTGCCCAGTAGAGCCGCTTTCCCATCCACAGCTCCTAGGCTAGCTGGGCCCTGCCTGAGTATGTTCCAGACAAGGCGACCCACTTTGAGGGTCCACCAGGATGGGGCACTCTGCAGGGGGCAGTGATCCTTGGCCAGACCCCTGCTGTGTCTGGCCTTAGTGATCTCTGATCAAGTCTGACAAGGCGACCACTGACGGAGGCAGGAGGTCCTAAATTATATTTGGATACTCCCCATAAAATGTCTGTACTGTACAGTAAGTCTTTATAAAGCACAAACACAGAATAGTGAGGAAAAAAATTGAAATAAACAGTGCCTTCAGAAAGTATTCATAACCCTTGACTTACTCCACATTGTTGTTACAGCCCGAATTCAAAATTGATTAAATAGACTTCTCCCCCCCCAATACACACAATACCCCATAATGACAAAGTAAAAACATGTTTTTAGACATGTTAGCAAATTTGTTGAAAATGAAATACAGAAATATCTCATTTACATAAGTATTCACACCCGAGTCAATACTTTGTAGAAGCACCTTTGGCAGAGATTACAGCTGTGAGTATTTCTGGGTAAGTCTAAGAGCTTTCCACATGTGGATTGTGTAACATTTGCCCATTATTCTTTTCAAAATTCTTCAAGCTCAGTCAACTTGGTTGTTGATCATTGCTAGACAACCAGTCAGGTCTTGCCATAGAGTTAAGTAGACTTAAGTCAAAACTGTAACTAGGCCACTCAAGAACATTCAATGTCATCTTGGTAAGCAACTCCAGTGTAGATTTGGCATTGTGTTTTAGGTTATTGTCCTACTGAAAGGTGAATTCATCTCCCAGTGTCTGGTGGAAAGCAGACTGTACCAGGTTTTCCTCTAGTATTTTGCCTGTGCTTGGCTCCATTCAGTATTTATTTTTTATCCTGAAAAACTCCCCAGTCCTTAACAATTACAAACATACCCATAACACCATGCAGCCTCCACTATGCTTGAAAATATGGAGAGTGGTACTCAGTAATGTGTTGTATTGGATTTGCCCCAAACATAACACATTGTATTCAGGACAAAAATGTAATTGCCTTGCCAAAATGTTGCAGTATTACTTTAATGCCTTGTTGCAAACAGGATGCATGTTTTGTAACATTAGTATTATGTACAGTCTTCCTTTTCACTCAATTAGGTTAGTATTGTGGAGTAACTGCAATGTGGTTGATCCATCCTCAGTTTTCTCCCATCACAGCCATTAAATTCTAACTGTTTTAAAGTGACCATTGGCCTCATGGTGAAATCCCTGAGCGGTTTCCTTCCTCTCTGGCAACTGAGTTAGGAAGGATGCCTGTATCTTTGTAGTGACTAGGTGCATTGATACACCATCCAAAGTGTAATTAATAACTTCACCATGCTCAAAGGGACATTCTTCTGCCGGTTAGGAGCGTTGGGCCAGTAACCGAAAGGTTGCTGGATCGAATCCCCGAGCTGACAAGGTAAAAATAGGTTGTTCTGCCCCTGAACAAGGCAGTTAACCCACTGTTCCCCGGGTGCCGAAGACGTGGATGTCGATTAAGGCAGCCCTACGCACCTCTCTGATTCAGAGGGGTTGGGTTAAATGCGGAAGACACATTTCAGTTGAATGCATTCAGTTGTAAATTACAACTGACTAGGTATCCCCCTTTCCCCAATAGGTGCCCTTCTTTGCGAGGCATTGGAAAACCTCCCTGGTCTTTGTGGTTGACTGTGTATGTGTGGGGTACAGAGATGAGTATTGTTAAATAAATACTTATTGGACACAGTGTGAGTCCATGCAACCTATTAAGTGACTTGTTAAGAACATTTTTACTCCTGAATTTAATTTGGCTTGCCATAACAAAGTTTTATTGTATTTTATTTTTTTCCTTCCCCCCCCCCCCCCCCGGGGGGAATGGATCAGCTTAATATTGCAGATAGATTGTATCTTCTATCAATGTAATTGTCTGCATCACTTCAGATCCCCCATGGTTTTTATATTTTTTATATATATACTCCCCTTTATTACTTTTCAACCCCACCATCCTTTCCCTACTTGGAGTAAATTAGTGAACAACAATGCCCAGGCCTCTACTTCCAGTCTATACTTACTATCTACACCTTATGGACAGAGTTAATTTTACAATAATTATATATATATATATATATATATATATATATATATATTTTGCTCCTGAACTTCTTCTACTCTCAACCTCTCCGATCATTTTCATGGTGTCCATCCGGTTTGCTTCTATATGGCATATCTTTCTAACTAACAAAGGGTTTGAATACTTATTGACTGAAGATATTTCAGCTTTTCATTTAATTAATTTGTAACAATTTTGAAAAACATTTCTACTTTGACATTATGGGGTATGACAAAGAATCTCAATTTAATCAATTTTAAGTCAAGGGGTGTGAATACTTTCTGAAGGTCCTGTAAATAAAGCGGTTTGCACTGTGTGTATGTGTGTGTGTGAGAGAGAGAGATCTGAGGGGGAAAAGAGCATGGTCCAGCACGTGTGAGCATGTTTATATCCATAAAAGCAATGTTGTAGTGTTACACTCACATGGCTGCAGTTTTGGATTCTGCCTCATGAAGGCAGCAGTAGTCTTGAGCACAAGCACAGATCAGACGCAACGTCCGAACTGCAATAGAACAGCAAACAAAACAAAGGTGACAAGCATCAATAACATTACACAAACAACTCAAGTCACCATCCAGCCTGTCTGAAATGAAGAACATTGTGTACTGGATGTTATTGGAGCAGAAAAACATGGGTTCCCCCCCAATTAAATGCTTCCCCTGTATGAGCAATGTAAAGAACACATCCCACACTATCACTGTCCAGTGAGGGTCTTGAGGGTCACACCCACCAATGCACTCAAGCTTTCTCTGGGGACAGCAATCTCCGCACAGCAAGCGAAGCTCCTGCACTGCCGATTCATAGGGGTAGGAACCATGCAGCATGACAGGGTCCTGGGGGTACAGTTTCGATGCGACACCAACGTCACCAGGTGAGATGTCCCGATATAGTATCATACTGGACTCAAAGGACAGCTCCCTCTCTCTGTGGACCTTCCTTCATAGTCCAGGACACAAAGATACAAGGGGTAACCATGACTAATCAACAAGTATTGTGACATGACTGACACCAGCTTTCATACTGAACTACCTTCCTAAATGGACATTAGATTGAATACATAAAGGAATGGTTGAATCACAGGTATGTTAATCATCTCACTGCACTGATAAGCATAATCAACCATGCAGAAGGCTAATAGGAGAAGAGGGAACAGTTTCTACTTGTAGCTTATTGACGCCATCTACTGACCACTGCCTGACATCCAACCCATTTTGCATACAGGAAGCCTTTACTAGGGATGTGCACGGTTATTCGAATATCAAATATCCAAAAGGACGTTAGTATCCGAAAACTTGTGTTTTATTTTTATAGGCCTATTTTAAACACTGAAAATGCATTTTCTAAATGTAAATAAAATATATATGTGACATTCTTACATATAGGATATACCATGACATTTTAAATTATTAATTTAATAAAACAAACTTTTCAATGTAGGTTTTATGACATGCACCCCATAAAAAGACCGGTTGCCAACCGGTAACATTCACGTGTGTAGCTTGTCGTTTATGTTGGCCAATTACATTTGGCAAAGAGGCTCAATGTGTAGCAAGTGGAGTGAGTTCACTAATGCAATGTATGATGGAATAAAATCATGTTATTAAAAGTTAGCGAAATGAGAAGGAGTCGGCTACAACGGATCAACCAACAGGTAAACGGTCGTTTATCTGAATGGGGTTGGGGAGAAAGCGGCACGTGGCCTCAATTAGCCTAGCTAGCTATAGCTGGCTAGCTTCTCCAGGCTACTCCAGTCAAGACAGGCATTGTTATATGGGATGATAAATAACATTGTGGCTGCTACAAGTTAGCTATTCTTGGCTGTAGCCAAGTTGCCTTGGCGTCTCTCGCTCTCCCTCCGTCAGCTCGGAGGAATAGAGTGCCAGCAGTCCTCAGGTTAAAACCGTAAGTAAAAAAAAAAAATACACATGTACTTCGAATATCTGGATATCCTACAAAAATTCATGATACTATTCGAATAGTGAAATTATTTCAGACCCCCCCCCATCCCTAGTTTCTGCCACAAAATATGTGCAAGTAATCATAGCTTCAAACAGACAGTAGAAGATGTTAATCAGCATTACCTGAAGAGAGCCAACAGAGGGCTCCAGAGGGGAGTAAAGAAGGCTTCTTCTATGCTGGCCACACACAGGTCCTTAGAACTGGCTGTGTTCAGACACTCAAAGGAGAGCAGACATAGCGACAAAAGTTGATCTGCAACACAAAGTAATTTTTAAAAATTTCATTCAACAATTAGAGAACACTGCAAAACCTTACATTTCCTGTCAAAGTGAGGTCTACTACATTGTACATTTTAACACACTCTCATACTAACCAATGGCAATATGGATGTCCTTCACAATAGCCTTGAGGTGTTCTTTGAGATCACGCATCTCCAAGTCTTGAACGAGAGACTCCTCCTGATCCAACAGTGACGGTTCAAAGGTCACGTCAGGGTCCCCATGGGAGGGAGCCCAGTCCAGCTGCGTCAGGAACTGCTCCAGATCCTCAAACGAATTCTCCCTGTCCAGTGTATGGGGCCCATCACTATCCAACTCCTCGTTAGCAATATGGTCATGGGAGAAGGAGATATTGAGAGAGGCATCGGACGACATACTGTGGTCCACTTCAGATTTTGACACGTTCTGATGAGAGTCTGAGATCAACAGGCTCTGAGCGCTGTGGGAGGGTTTCATGGGCAGGGCAGGACTTGCAGGTAGACTCTTACTCACGATTGGGTAGAGCCTGTTGTAAACTCTGTACTGGAGCCTTTTCAGTAGCTTCATCACAGGGTGGTCTGGACAGCTAGGATACACAGAGCACACAATACAAATTACTCCTCTATTCAAATAGAAATTAAGCAACATTATGTTTGGCAAAATATAGGACTAGGACTGCCTTCTGCGGCATCGTGTTTAGTACCTGAGAAGACATGAAACAAGGCCGGACACCAATGTGGCATCATCAGGATTTTTCTTAAGGTTGGCTTTCCAAAGCTTGGGCCAGTCCTATAAGTCAAACATACACATGATGAGGACAACTCGACAGCAAACACTAAAGTTAACTTATCAACACAATGACTTGTCAAGTTGTCACTGAACTGCGAACTCACATGATCTTGTTCATATTCCAAAACATTTGTGTACAGAACACGTTGCTCCTGTTCTTCTGCAGTAATTGTTCCAGATGCGGCAAACCTCCTACATACAGCACAGACATTACTCATCAGATATATGGATTTAACTGGAGCTCAGCTCCAAGCACCATTTAAATTACTTTCATACTACATATCAAAACACTTAAATTAAGGGCGGATTGAGTGGTTAATGAGGGGAGATGGTTCTGAAGTATTCTAAACTTAACTGCAAATACACAAGTGTCAGGTTTCTGTTCTTGTTCCAATTCCTACAAAGTAGCAGCACTTATACAACAAACACTACTGATGCGGTTAGCCTGTAAAGCCATAAAACTGAGACTTGTACTGTGATGTGTACCGAGTTCTACTGTCAGAGGGGACGAATGCTCACCTGTTGGCCTCCTCCTGTAGCCTCAGTCTCCTCTCCTCCATCTTCCTTTGGACCTTCACACGTATTAAGGAACCCTTCCCAAATGTCCACTGGATCGAAACATAAAATAGCAGCTCATCCCAAAGCTACATGCCTACCACCATGGACAACCAATAGCATTAATTATCTCAGAAGGTGGCTACTTCCAAACTACACTAATAAATCAGTCACGATAATAGATTATTTAACTATTTAGGGTCCTCTTATGACTCGGTTACAGGAGACATAACATGGGGTGCCTGGAACGTGTGTCCCAAGGCTCACAGGTAAGGCTCCCTTCAGCCATAACTTGGATCCTGGTCTAACTTACTCAAGTGGACATTCTTACCCAACTGACCCCTAGACTTATATAATATCAAACTGACCCCGAAAGTCCACATTAACAGAAGGATACAGCATCTTGCCTGGCCTTGGCAATGATCAGGTTCTCCATCATCTGCCTCTGAAGAGAGAGAGTCTGTGTTGAAAGAAAATTGATAAATATTTTACATTTCTAGACTGTCAGATATTTCCTAATTACATTATGTGTGAGATAAGACAAGTAATATTTTCCAGGAGGCAGAATTCTTGTTGAAATGTAAACATAAAATGTTATTATCACCTCAACACTACAACCAGTAATTGCCTGAGGTAGGCTGGCTGTTGGCCGATTGCATTATATGGCTTATCAGGGTCTGAACAACGAAACTTCAAAGGTTAAAGGGTTGTCATTGATTGCATTCGAGTAAGCTTCTGGAGAGGTCACTACTACTGGGTCGTTCCACCTCAAAAAGCACAAGAAAGGATTGACCCCCCGCGTTGTGTCAAGTTGGCTGGATGTCCTTTGGGTGGTCGACTATTCTTGATACACACAGGAAACTGTTGAGCGTGAACAACCCAGCAGTATTGCAGTTCTTGACACACACAAACCGGTGCGCCTGGCACCTACTACCATACCTCTTCAAAGGCACTTAAATATTTTAACTTGCACATTCACCCTCTGATTGGCACACATACACAATCCATGTCTCAATTGTCTCAAGGCTTAAAAATCCTTCTTTAGCCCGTCTCCTCCCCTTCAGCTACACTGATTGAATCGGATTTAACAAGTGACATCAATAAGGGATCATGGCTTTCACCTGGATTCGCCTGGTTAGTCTAAGTCATGGAAAGAGCAGGTGTTCTTAATGTTTTTTGCACTCAGTGTATAATACTTAATATAGTTCCCAACATCTGATTTGGACCAAACTTTTTTCTAACAATAAGTTGGACATGAGGAATCCAAATAAATTGTCAAAAGCCACCCAAGGTCCATCCTATGACAGTGCCACGTTGAAAGTCACTGAGCTCTTCATGGTTGTGTGCTCGATTTTATACACCTGTCAGCAACGGGTGTGGCTGAATTAGCCGAATCCACTAATTTGAAGGGGTGTCCACATACTTTTGTATATATAGTATATATCTATCTCATTGGGAACGATCCTACTACTAGTCACCGTGTGAGTACATGTGCTACTGGTGCTTTCAAGACCACTGAGAACTTGGAAAAGAACAAAGTCAAATCATGACGTCAGTGATCTCCAGGTCGGAGCTCTAGAAATATGCCCGAGTTTCCGACTTCGAATTCTGAGTTGGACGACCGTTCAAAACTATTTTTCTCAGTCGGAGGTACTTTTTTCCGAACTTCACAGTTGTACTTAAGTCTGAGATTTCCGAGTTCCCAGTTGTTTTGAACGCGACATACATCTCGTATAGTAGTGTGTGAGTAAAACGTAATTGGAACAATGAAACTACATGGACATAAAAAGTACCTTCACAAATTCCTTTAGTTTTTCCCACTGAGAACGCAGATCCATTTGGCCGTTATGTCGCCGGAACATTCTTGGCATCTAAATTGTGGGATTTCAAAATGTTTTTGTTCTAACCTACTAAAACGCGTGGAAAAGTAAAAATATTATTCCTTGAAGGACACGATAATGCGGTCAGTGTCCCTTAAAGTGGCTCCGAAATACTCACCATTTTAGAGAAGAACATGTGTTTATGTTTCATGAATATGATGAATGAACACGAGGAAGAAAAAAAAAATGCCCGCTGTAGTTCGTATTCTGACCGTATTTCAATTCAATCTCTAACCTTGGAGTGAGTCTAATCCTGTTGACTTCTCAACTAAAACTCGAATCCAGCAAGAGCGTGTGGCGCGCCAAATAAGGTCTAAACAAATCGATTCCCTAATCACCTTGAAGGGGCGTGAACCTTGTATGGATTCACATGCCACTAGTCTCGTGCATGCATGTGATTGTGCTTCAATGGAAAGCCCATAGTATTCTATTTAACAATAAAGATGAAATAGAGGAGTCAATGAGTACACTTGCATCAAGCATGAATAATTAAATATCTCCTTTCCATGTTATCAGTCTACTTCATTCGAAGCTGTTTTCTACAAGTCTACTGCTTTATATACACACCATAGCAGGGTCCCAGAACTGAGGGACATAATTTATGTAGAAGAAACATGATGCTGAGCTCTTGTTGGGTCCAACTCTGCCTCATACCAACATCAGATTTTATTTAACCTTTATTTAACTAGGCAAGTCAGTTAAGAACAAATTCTGGGGCGGCAGGAAGCTTAGTGGTTAAGAGCGTTGTGCCAGTAACCGAAAGGTCGCTGGTTCTAATCCCAGAGCCGACTAGGTGAAAAATCTGTCGATGTGCCCTTGAGCAAGGCACTTAACCCTAATTGCTCCTGTAAGTCGCTCTGGATAAGAGCGTCTGCTAAATGACTAAAATGTAAATCCGGACGACGCTGGGCCAATTGGGACTCCCAATCACGACCGGTTGTGATACAGCCTGGAATTGAGATGCAGTGCCTTAGACTGCTGCGCCACTCGGGATGGTACTCATGTGTGTGTGACTCAAATTCATATGTAGAGGATATAACAGCTGTGTGAATCTCACAACCTTTCTGCTTTGCTTTGGTGTTCTACTGTAATCTGACACACATTAAACTGAGAATTAAAATAGCAGCCAGTTAATTTACAAGATCCCTAAATTTATCCAATTTTGGGGATATTCTAAAATCATGGTTGCAATGTAAAGTTTGGTTCAACTAAATGTGGTGTCTGTTTGGTATAAGTGAATAACACACAAACACAAAGACTGACCAGAGAAGTCTTCTGTGTACGGGCCTGAGCAGGGGGGAGTCGGGCCAGACGAGCTTCATAATTTTCTTTCAACTTCTGGTTCAACCGTGAGGCCTCCTCTATGGGTGTAAGCTCCCTTTAATACACACAAAAACATACAAAAATGTTTAGTCACATGTTACCAAAGGTATAAACTGTATCAAGTCTACGACTGGGATGGCTTACAATGTGAATTTCAGTTCTGTACTATTTGAATACTCTGTATTAATCAACTCTGTTTAATCAACGGCCTCTTCGACAATTTAACAAAGTTCTACAATGACAACCATTCACTGATAAGAGTGACTTCTGATGTAGGCGTCTCATGAATACTGTAACCAGGGAGAGTCCTTCTATTTCACTGAGTGGCTATTACTAGAACTCTCCTTTTTGTCCCCCGATTGTTTAGTCCTCAGTTTCTCTGACAACAACTCACTTCCTGGTATCCTGTGACTCCACTGTCTGCAACCTCTGGAAGACTTCTGGGGGCAGGAAGGGGGTGACCTCCCCTCCACCCTCAGAGAGAACTCTGCGCTGTCCAGGCCTGGGGTTATGTTTAGGCCCCGAGTCAATAACGAGATCTTGTGGTTGTGGCGAAACTGGAGGAGGGACAGGAGGTTGACACGTTTCGGGGAAAAGTCATTTGAAAAACGTAGCAAAATTTGGGGCTAAATATATTTACCAATCTTTCCAGGGCTTACTGCAACAGACGGGGCTAAGGTTGTGGTCAGGCTGAGTGCTGCTGAGTTGGTAGGTGTAGTGTAGGAGGTAGGGGTTGGGGGGTCATCTCTCCTTCCTATGAAGGAGGACTTGGCTCTCTCCAAACACTGCTCAGCCAGCCTCAACATCTTTTCCACCTCTACTGCTACCATCTCTCCCTCTGGGTGAGGAAAGAAAAGCAAAATGCAGAAGAGAAAAGCAAAATTTGATAACTGGTAACCACTATCCACTGCAACTAAATTAAAACAATCCACGCTAAGAACTGATTAAATCTCAGTATCTACATGGGAGTACAACTTCATCAAGGTTGATACAGTCATCCTGATGTGTCCTTCATTAGTTTAGGAGGGAGTAAAGGTATTCAAATGAATCAACATGTGATGTAATCCTGTGCTTGTCTACTTGTTGTCTACAAACAAACCCACTCAACTACTTACTCCAGGACTTATTTAATGCCCAAACTCTGCAAACATGGATGTTCCATTGTTTATTTTCTACCTTCTAAAACAGTGTTTCCCAAACCTGATCCTCAGGTACCCCCAACAGTACACATTTTTATTGTAACCCTGGACAAGCACACCTGATTCAACTAATCATCAAGCCCTCAATGAGTTGAATGAGGTGTGTTGGTCAAGGGCTTCAATGAAACTGCTTACTGTTGGGGGTACTCAAGGACCAGGGTTGGGAAATACTGTTCTAAAATGACTTATAGACCTGCCCTGGCAGGGAGGGTTGAGTGGAGTGGAGAAAGAGATGACAAACGTCATAGTATCTTGATTGACCTTAGATTTCTTTATGTTCAGTGACTGCCAGGCATAAAGATGTAGTTGCAGCCCCATCTTGAAAGCACCATAACAGCTCTTATTTACAGAGCACCTCTTGAATAAAAGAAGATGTATAATTTAGTTTTGCATAATGTAATATAGTCCAGGTCTCATCTTACTCCTCGATACAGCATCCTCCAAAAGTGAGTGGGAGATGAAGTTGATACTCCTCAAGTATGCACAGTAAGCTTCCTAGAGAAAAAAAGAAAGCTCTAAACTTCCAACAGTAGGCTACTGTAGAAACATAATAGCATTACAACATAGATAGAACATTATACCAACACGCCAACTAGCTACTGTAACAAGTGCTATTGCATTGTTTACGTCATCAACGAAGCATATCTCGTGGCTATAAAACTCGTTCAACGTAATTCTAAATCAACCCTTACAAAAAAAGATTGCAGTTTTAAAACTGCAGTAAGTGCAGTCGACTGTGGTATTTTGGACGCATAACTGCAGTCGAACTGTAGTTATACTGCAGTCACAATGCAAAATTATTGCAGCACATTTTTTGGGGGGAACGCAGTATTTGCAGCATCCTGCAGTTATACTGCACTCTGACTCATTCTTTTTTCGTAAGGGTATTGAAAGCTTGACATTAGTATGTATAAGCCCCGTGTAGCTCAGTTGGTAGAGCATGGCGCTTGCAACGCCAGGGTTGTGGGTTCGTTTCCCACGTGGGGCCAGTATGAAAATGTATGCACTCACTAACTGTAAATCGCTCTGGATTAGAGCGTCTGCTAAATGACTGAAATGTAAATGTTGTGGGTTCGTTTCCCACGGGGGGCCAGTATGACAAAATGTATGCACTAACTGTAAGTCGCTCTGGATAAGAGCGTCTACTAAAATTCATTTTTTAAAAATTAGAATACCTTATGTCGGTTCCCTGCGTCCAATTGTATAGCCACTTTAGCTATTTTCATGGCATTTTGAAGGGGCTTCATGCCACCGTCAGCCCCAGCTGCGGCCATGGTTGTTGTTGTTGTTGTTGTGACCAATCGTTCCGGATGTAAACTCTGCATGAACGGAAGCATGGATTTCTACAGCCGCAAGATGGCGCTACATTCTGGTGGTTCTTTTGACGTTATTATCAAATATTTCTTATAACTAACAAAATATAGATCACAGCCTGTCGATTCCAATGTGAACAAATGAGTCATAGTGGGAAGACGAGCAAGGAGGGGGGCAAAGCCAAGCATGAGCTAGCAAGATCCTATTGCTGTGTTCTAGAACGTATACTATTATTGTTAGGGAACGCCAACTCTGTGAAGTGCGCGTGTGCAAGATCTCAATTCGCCCTTTGCACTCCTAAACAGAGCAATTGTTTGAATACTTTGGCAAAGGGTAAAGTCTACAAAACATAGTCCACTCTGTTCGTAACCGATTCTCGTTTTGGGAACAGAAAACTGTATTGAGATCAAATGTTTAATCGATGAGAAAATGTGCAGAATGTCGGCCAAAAGACATTTCGTTCATCTTCTCCCACTGCCGGCCACTGGCCTTCCTCTCGTTACCATATTTGGTAGTGAATAGAAACGCCAACCGGATGCTTCACCTTTATACATCTGGTGAAATATCTGTGTCATTGTTCTATCTGTGTTATTATTTTTTACTCCTTCCGGGTTTCGTGTTTCAATAGAAACCGTTTCCAGTTCGTGCTTTACGATATTGTGTTACTGTTAAAATCTACAATGTATATTTTACTAAACCACCAACCAACTAAGTATTCAAATTACAAATGACTGCTAGAATTTGAGGCGAATCGTGTTCTCCTTATTGGAAGTCGCAGCTGTAGGTTTCAAACCAACGTTGGGTTTTAAACAGCTATACAAATAACAGCGCTCCCCATGTAAGGCTCAAGTTACTTTGAAAGCTACTGCCACATTATATTTACAGGACTTTTCTTTAGGATCCTCTTTAGGACTCTGTGTAATGAAGAAGAGAGGGAGACGAGCGCGGCTACCCGATGTGGCAGCAGGACAGAGAAGCCATACTCAGTCAGTGGCTGGGGTCAACAAACCTGCTGGGCGGCGAGAAAGACCCAAGAATGCTGTGAAAACACCTCCACCATCAGTTGCATGTGATGGGGGTTTCGAGGATGTTGGTCAAAGTGACAGATCTGCAAGATTACAATTGAGCACAACAGTGTCAGTTGTGGAGATAGAAGGGGAGGAGCATCCAGAGAATATATCAAAGAAATCAGGAAAGTACCCTGCAAAAGTCTTGACAGATCAGTCTAGATTGAGGTCAATGACAGGTTGTCATGTATTTTTATTTCTACAAGGTAAAGGATCAGCTCTTACACTTTCTCAAATGCAACCTCCTTCCTTTACTGTTCCTACAGGTATGGGCAGACTAAGCACTGCATTCTGTCGACTCTGTCATGGAAAGTTCTCACCTCGGAGGCTGCGGCATGCCTTCGACAAGTGGCCAGGGGAGCTGGAGGAGGTCCCTGACCAGGCAGAGCCAGCCCAGTCGCCCCTGCTTTTCTACACAGACTTTCAGCGCCTAGTGGGAGTGCCACTGAACCGTGACCCACGTCTCTCACAGTTTGTCTGCAAGAACTGCCACACAAAATTCTACAAGTGCCACACTATCCTGCTCACATTTCTGCAGAGGGTAAACCTCTTGCCATCTGTGAATGTGCACACCAGAGACAGGTGAGGAAAAATGCGAGCAACTGTAATGTCACTGGGTAGAGAACGGCGATTGTAAACCTGTAGGAGGGTCAGCAATGAGCAGTGAAACCAAAACATGATGTTGATTTTGGTTTCAGGAAAAGTTCAGAGTGCTCTCAATCAACAGTGGGTCCCAGCTTGTTGTGTAAGTGGATACATTCCATCAGGACAAGATGATTACCAGATTTTGATCCACAGAGATTACAACCACTGTTACTAAATGTCCCATTTCTCTTTCCTCCAACCTGACAACCACCCCTCCCTCTCCCAGCATCCTCCATCCCCTCCGATCCCAAGTGTCTCCACAGCCTGGTGTCCTGGGCCCACCACCATGCAGAGGACTGCCGCTCCTGCCCTGACCTGAAAGAAGTGCTGGAGGGGCAATGCTGGGGCTCAGTAAGGGCCGTCTGGGGGTGTGTGGATGGACATAGTTACATGATGGACACACAGACCAGAGCAAATCCTGGACACAATGGGAGTGATCCCCAACTGGAAGGTGAGGAGCAGCCCAGAGGGAACCGAACCCCTGTCAACACAACCATGGCCCAGCTCAGTCCAGATGCTACCCCACAGACTCAGAGCTCCATCAACACTGATGCTACTAACACCAGTGCAGATGGTGAGACAGCTTTTGGTGCCTCAAAGTTACCCTGAGAAACGGGAACACTCAGTATTTAATTTGAGTATTCAATTAAGTATAGTCTTGACTGCATTGAAATGTGTGACTCTTTGTAGGTGGTTACCATCTTATGGTCTGGTGCCAGTCCAAATTCATTTGTTTGACCCTCTTGTCCCTAGAATTTGTCTTTGGTAAGGAGACACCCTCCCCTGCACCAGCCCCACTCATGGACAGGACAGGTGACATTGACCTATCTGACAGGTGAGTCAACAGTGACGCACATGGTTCAAGTTATACAGTTCTGGGAAGTTAAGATTGGTTAAACAATAGGCTGTGTGTGTTCATGTGAAACCTTAGGAACATGTCCAGTGAGGATGAGTTGGAAGAGAAAAGGAAAAATGGATCCTCTGATGAATTATTTGAACCATACCCAGAGAAGAAGTGAGTGGATTGATGTGGGTTCTAGCTATTTTGCATATCAAAGCAAAATAATGTACATAGAATAATTTGTATTGATACACACAGTAATAACATAGTAGCACATCAGTGGACAATAAGAGCACTTATCAGAGCAACATTGGTAGCTGTAAAAAAGGGCATCAAATTCATGGCTTTGATATCTTGAGTGTTTTCTCCCCTTTCCCATGCCTTGCAGAGTTGCCTCCCCGAAGAAGAGAACCAGAAGAAAAGAAGCAAAAACTCCCAAGGAGCCTAAAGTTAGAAAGAAGCCAGGACCCAAGCCTGGCTGGAAGAAGCCAATCAAGTCAGAAAGGTACGTTACAAGCTGTCTGGGGGGCAAAGCACCAGATCTTTGTAGTTTAACAGATTTGTTAAAATCATGAATTGGAGTGTAGCTGGTAGTGGAGAGTAATACATGTGACATTTGTGAAGTATCCATGTTTGTTTTTTGTTTTCAGAGAGGAGCTGCCCAATATCTACAAATGTCCATACCAGGGCTGCTCAGCTGTGTACCGAGGCGCAGACGGCATGAAGGTCAGATACAAGTCATCCTTACGGCACTGCTTATCCTCTTATGGCCTTGAACATTTCAATTAATACATAAGAGTATTCTGAGGGCTGTTTTTATCTGTGGGGTACAGAAACACATTAAGGAGCACCATGAAGAGGTCCGTGAGCGACCCTGCCCTCACCCTGGCTGCAACAAGGTCTTCATGATTGACCGCTACCTGCAGCGACACGTCAAACTCATCCACACAGGTAGGTTTGGACTGGAGACGGGGCTAATACTGAAGACTAGGGCAGCATCCCTTTGTGCCCTGGTCAAACGTAGTGCACTATATAGGGATTAGGGTGCCATTTGGGCGCAGCCTGAGAGATGTTTGTGTGCTTGTATTAAAGGCCCAGTGCAGTCAAAAATGTGATTTTCCTGTTTTATATATATTTCTACACTGAGGTTGGAATAATACTGTGAAAATGATGATAATGCCCTTTTAGTGTAAGAGCTCTTTGAAAAGACCGCCTGAAATTTCAGCCTGTTTTGGTGGGATGGTGTTTTGGTCTGCCTGGTGACATCACCAGCCAGTGAATTAGTTCATAGACCAATAAGAGTTTCAAACCTCTCTGCTAATAACAGATCGTTTTCCCCTCCCCACTCAGACCACTCCCAGACAGTCCTGGCAAAATTATTGCTTGAAAAATGGCTCTTTGCTAAGAAGCTATATTTGTTTCTTTTTGACAATGTTATTTGAAACAATCACAGTAAGGTACTTAATTGTTACCCAGAAATAATTTGATATTGAGATAAAAACAGCTGCATTGGACCTTTAAGTTTGACCTTTTCCAGAGGTGAGGAACTACATCTGTGACCAGTGTGGTCAGACCTTCAAGCAGAGGAAGCACCTGTCTGTGCACCAGATGCGCCACTCAGGGGTCAAGCCACTACAGTAAGTACAGAGGGACATAAAGCTCATATCAAGAGGCAAGGTAATGCTGGTTTATGTGTTGCGAGGGGCTCAAGCACTGATGAGTCTGTCAGACTGTAGCCTTTGATTACAGTGCATTCAGAAAGTATTTAGACCCCTTCCCTTTTTTTCACATTTTGTTATGTTGCAGCCTTAAAATTGATTAAATAGAAAAAATGTCCTCAATCTACACACAATACCCCATAATGACAAAGCTAAAACTGGTTTTTAGAAATGTTTGCAAATGTATTAAAAATAAAAAACAGATACCTTATTTACATAGGTATTCAGACCCTTTGCTATGAGACTCGAAATTGAGCTCAGGTGCATCCTGTTTCCATTGATCATCCTTAAAATGTTTCTACAACTTGATTGGAGTCCACCTGTGGTAAATTACATTGATTGGACATTATTTGGAAAGGCACACATTTGTCTATATAAGGTCGCACATTTGACAGTGCATGTCAAAGCAAAAACCAAGCCATGAGGTCGAAGGACTTGTCCGTAGAGCTCGAGACAGGATTCTGTTGAGGCACAGATCTGGGAAAGGGTACCACATTTCTGCAGCATTGAAAGTCCCCAAGAAAACAGTGGCCTCCATCATTCTTAAATGGAAGAAGTTTGGAACCAACAAGACTCTTCCGAGAGCTGGCTGCCCAGCCAAACTGAGAAATCGGGGGAGAAGGGCCTTGGTCAGGGAGGTGACCAAGAACCCGATGGTCACTCTGACAGAGCTCTAGTGTTCCTCTTCGGGGATGGGAGAACCTTCCAGAAGGACAACCATCTCTGCAGCACTCCACCAATCAGGCCTTTATGGTAGAGTGACCAGACAGAAGCCACTCCTCAGTAAAAGGCACATGACAGCCCGCTTGGAGTTTGCCAAAAGGCACCAAAAGGACTCTCAGACAATGAGAAACACGATTCTCTGGTCTGATGAAACCAAGATTGAACTCTTTGACCTGAATGCCAAGCATCACGTCTGGAGGAATCCTGGCGCCATCCCTACGGTGAAGCATGGTGGTGGCAGCATCATGCTGTGGGGATGTTTTTCAGTGGCAGAGACTGGGAGACTAGTCAGGATCGAGGGAAAGATCAATCCTTGATGAAAACCTGCTCCAGAGCGCTCAGGACCTCAAAACAACAACCCTAAGCACACAGCCAAGACAACGCAGGAGTGGTTTCGGGACAAGTCTCTGAATGTCCTTGAGTCGCCCAGCCGAGCCCAGACTTGAACCCGATCGAACATCTCTGGAGAGACCTGAAAATAGCTGTGCAGCGACGCTCTACATCCAACCTGACAGAGCTTGAGAGGACCAAGAAGACTCGAGGCTGTAATCGCTGTCAAAGGTGCTATAACAAATTATTGAGTAAAGGGTCTGAATACTCATGTAAATGTGATCCGTTTTTAATATATGTGCACACATTTCTAAAAACCAGTTTTTGCTTTGTCATTATGGGGTATTGTGTGTAGATTGATGAGAGAAAACAATTTAATCCATTTTAGAATAAGGCTGTAACGTAACAAAATGTGGTAAAGGTCAAGCGGTCTGAATACTTTCCGAAGGCACTGTATGTGGCTGTAAAGCCGAAACGTCTGTGCCGAAATCCCTGATGCAGTAAAAAATTTAAAACATTGAATAATGAAGTAAGCTTTATGTGACATATTTCAGTGCGATCCACCTCTTTGTTTGTCTGAATTTGGAGGTTTTACGCACCAGCCAAGCTTTTGGGAGAGCGCCATGGTTCTTTTGATTTGTGACACCCTCAAAGAATTTTTTTGTCACATGCGCCGAATTCAACCTTACCGTGGAATGCTTACTTTCAAGCCCTTAACAAACAATGCAGAGTAAGAAAGTATTTGCTAAATAAACTAAAGTAAAAAAAAAAGTTACACAATAAAATAACAATAACGAGGCTATATACAGGAGGTACCGAATTAATGTGCGGGGGTACGGATTAGTCGAGGTAATTGAGGTCATATGTACATGTAGGTAGGGGTAAAGTGACTGCACAGATAATAAACAGCGAGTAGCAGCAGCGTAAAAAAAGGGGGTCAATTCACATACACTACCGTTCAAAAGTTTGGGGTCATTTAGAAATGACCTTGTTTTCGAAAGAAAAGCACATTTTTTGTCCATTAAAAGAACATCAAATTGATCAGAAATACAGTGTAGACATTGTTAATGTTGTAAATGGCTATTGTAGCTGGAAACGGCTGATTTGTAATGGAATATCTACATAGGCCCATTATCAACAACCATCAGTCCTGTGTTCCAATGGCATGTTGTGTTTGCTCATCCAAGTTTATAATTTTAAAAGGCTAAATGATCATTAGAAAACCCTTTTGCAATTATGTCAGCACAGCTGAAAACTGTTGTGCTGATTAAAGAAGCAATAAAACTGGCCTTCTTGAGACTAGTTGAGTATCTGGAGCATCAGCAATTGTGGGTTCGATTACAGGATCAAAATGGCCAGAAACAAAAAACTTTCTTCTGAAACTCATCAGTCTATTCTTGTTCGGAGAAATGAAGGCTATTCCATGCGAAAAATTGCCAAGAAACTGAAGATCTCGTACAACGCTGTGTACTACTCCGTTCACAGAACAGCGCTTACTGGCTCTAACCAGAATAGAAAGAGGAGTGGGAGGCCCCGGTGCACAAATAAATTAGTGTCTAGTTTGAGAAACGCCTCACAGGTCCTCAACTGGCAGCTTCATTAAATAGTACCTGCAAAACACCAGTCTCAACGTCAACAGTGAAGAGGTGACTCCGGGATACTGACCTTCTAGGCAGAGTTGCAAAGAAAAAGCCATATCTCGGACTGGCCAATAAAAATTAAAGATTAAGATGGGCAAAATAACACAGACACTGGACAGAGGAAGATTGGAAAAAAAGTGTTATGGACAGGCGAATCGAAGTTTGAGGTGTTCGGATCACGAAGAACATTTGTGAGACGCAGACCAAATGAAAAGATGCTGGAGGAGTGCTTGATGCCATCTGTCAAGCATGGTGGAGGCAATGTGATGGTCCGGGGGTGCTTTGGTGGTGGTAAAGTGGGAGATTTGTACAGGGTAAAAGGGATCTTGAAGAAGGAAGGCTATCACTCCATTTTGCAACGCCATGCCATACCCTGTGGACGGCACTTGATTGGAGCCAATTTACTCCTACAACAGGACAATGACCCAAAGCACAGCTCCAAACTATGCAATAACTATTTAGGGAAGAAGCAGTCAGCTGGTATTCTGTCTACAATGGAGTGGCCAGCACAGTCACCGGATCTCAACCCTATGGAGCTGTTGTGGGAGCAGCTTGACTGTAAGAAGTGCACATCAAGCCAATCCAACTTGTGGGAGGTGCTTCAGGAAGCAAGGGGTGAAATCTCTTCAGATTACCTCATCAAATTGACAACTAGAATGACAAAGGTCTGCAAGGCTGTAATTGCTGCAAATGGAGGATTCTTTGACGAAAGCAAAGTTTGAAGGACACAATTATTATTTCAATTAAAAATCATTTTTTCTAACCTTGTCAATGACTACATTTCCTATGCATTTTGCTATATTTGCTATTCAAACTCATTTCATGTATGTTTTCATGGAAAACAAGGACATTTCTAAGTGACCCCAAACTTTTGAACGGTAGTGTAGTACGGGTAGCCATTTGATTAACTGCTCAGCATTCATATGGCTTGGGGGTAGAAGCTGCTAAGGAGCCTTTTGGACCTAGACTTGGCACTCCGGTACTGCTTGCTGTGCGGAAGCAGAGGGAACAGTCTATGACTTTGGTGGCTGGAGTCTTTGACAATTTTTAGGGTCTTCCTCTGACACCGCCTGGTATAGCGGTCCTGGATGGCAGGAAGCTTGGCCCCAGTGATGTACTGGGCCGTACGCACTACCCTCTGTAGCGCCTTGCGGTTGGATGCCGAGCAGTTGCCATACCAGGCAGTTATGTAACCAGTCAGGATGCTCTCAATGGTGCAGCTGTAGAACTTGTTTAGGATCTGAGGACCCATGCAAAGTCTTCTTAGTCTCCTGAGGGGGAATAGGTGTTGTCGTGCCCTCTTCACTACTGTCTTGGTGTGTTTGGACTATGATAGTTTGTTGGTGATGTGGACACCAAGGAATTTGAAGCTATCGACCCGCTCCACTACAGCCTCGTTGATGATGTGAATGGGGGTGTGCTCTGCCCTCCTTTTCTTGTAGTCCACGATCAGCTCCTTTGTCTTGCTCATGTTGAGGGAGAAGTTGTTGTCCTGGCACCACACTGCCAGGTTTCTGACCTCCTCCCTATAGGCTGTCTCATCGTTGTCGGTGATCAGGCCTACCACCGTTTTGTCGTCAGCAAACTTAATGATGTTGTTGGAGTCGTGCTTAGCCATGCAGTCGTGGGTGAACAGGGCGTACAGTACGGGACTGAGCACGCACCCCTGAGGGGCTCCCGTGTTAAGGATCAGCATGGCAGGTGTGTTGCCTACCCTTACCACCTGGGGGAGGCCCGTCAGGAAGTCCAGGATCTAGTTGCAGAGGGAGGTGTTTAGACCCAGGGTCCTTAGCTTAGTGATGAGCTTTGAGGGCACTAGGGTGTTGAACACTGAGCTGTAGTCAATGAACAGCATTCTCACGTAGGCGTTCCTTTTGTCAAGGTGGGATAGGGCAGTGGAGTGCAATAGAGATTGTGACATCTGTGTAGCTGTTGGGGCGGTATGCGAATTGGAGTGGGTCTAGGGTTTCTGGGATGGTGTTGATGTGAGCCATGACCAGCCTTTTTAAAGCACTTCATGGCTACAGATGAGAGTGGTATGGGTCATTAGTAATTTAGGCAGGTTACCTTGGCGTTCTTGGGCACAGGGACTATGGTGGTCTGCTTGAAACATGTAGGTATTAGAGACTCAGTCAGGGACAGGTTGAAAATGTCAGTGAAGACACTTGCCAGTTTGTCAGCGCATGCTCGGAGTACACGTCCTGGTAATCCGTCTGGCCCTGCAGCCTTGTGAATGTTGACCTGTTTAAAAGGTCTTACTCACATCAGCTACGGAGAGCGTGATCACACAGTCGTCCGGAACAGCTGGTGCTCTCATGCATGCTTCAGTATTGCTTGCCTCGAAGCGCGCATAGAAGTTATTTAGCTCCTCTGGTAGGCTCGTGCGGCTGGGCTTCCCTTTGTAATCCGTAATAGTTTGCAAGCCTTGCCACATCCGACGAGTGTCAAAGCCGGTGTAGTAGGATTCAATCTTAGTCCTGTATTAACGCTTTGCCTGTTTGATGGTTCGTCAGAGGGAATAGCGGGATTTCTTAAAAGCTCCTTGAAAGCGGCAGCTCTAGCCTTTAGCTCAGTGCGGATGTTGGCTGTAATCCATGGCTTCTGGTTGGGATATGTGCGTACGATCTCTGTGGGGACGACGTCATCGATGCACTTATTGATGAAGCCGGTGACTGATGTGGTATACTCCTCAATGCCATTGGATGAATCCCGGAACATATTCCAGTCAGTGCTAGCAAAACAGTCCTGTAGCTTAGCATATGCGTCATCTGACCACTTCCGTATTGAGCGAGTCACTGCTACTTCCTGCTTTCGTTTTTGCTAGTAATCAGGAGGATAGAATTATGGTCAGATTTGCCAAATGAAGGGAAAGGGAGAGCTTTGTACGCGTCTCTGTGTGTGGAGTAAAGGTGGTCTAGAGTTTATTTCCTCTGGTTGCACATGTGACATGCTGGTAGAAATTAGGTGAAACGGATTTAAGTTTTCCTGCATTAAAGTCCCCGGCCACTATGAGCGCCGCTTCTAGATTAGCATTTTCTTGTTTGCTTATGGCCTCACTAAGCCTCTTTATCTCCACTTTCAGGTGTGAAGTGTGTGGTTTCCAGTGTCGCCAGAGAGCGTCACTAAAGTACCACATGACCAAACACAAGGCAGAAGCTGATCTGGAATTTGCATGCAAACTGTGTGGAAAGCGCTTTGAGAAGGCCCACAACCTCAACGTCCACATGTCCATGGTGCATCCCCTCACACTAGCAGCTTCCGGAGGAAACATCGACAGCGCCTCCAACCCTGCTATCAACCCTGCTATCACCAACATACAGAGCATCACAGAGACTGGGGAACTGAACCCGTACACCAGTTGACCGACTTGATTAGGCCTGTGACCCTCAAGGAGCTGTAACAACCACAACGTCCTCTAAACCACAAAGTACAACAGCCACGGGATGATTTTTGTCTGAGCGGATGGTCAGTGGGCCAGAACATAATTATAATAACCACAACTAAGCCCAAAAAGTGATTATATTTGAAAATAACAATAATTTCGTAGATTGATTACATTGAATATTCGTGGGGATACTTGGGAACAGATTTCCTACATTAAACTCATTTATTAAAAATAAATCGCTCGCGGGCCGTTTTTGGCCCGCCTGCCGCCTGTTGCCGACCCCTGCTCTATAAGGAGTCTGGTATAGAATGGTCATGGCTAATGTGTCTAATAGACTTGAGGTTGAGAATAAGGTTAATATAAGTTATACGTGCACTGTGTATAAATGACAGTACTTCTAAAAGGAGTACAGCTAGCGGATCCTCTAAGCCATGTAAGCTGTGTGATACTTACTTTGGTGTTGTACTGCTCTATAATTATAACCTTAAGGCAACATTATCATGTAGCTAGCCAAGTATATACTTAATGGGAGGACAAAGACCAAGTTTTCAAACTCCCCCATAAATCTTTTATATACAGTATCTCACAAAAGTGAGTACACCCCTCACATTTTTGTAAATATTTGAGTATATCTTTTCATGTGACAACACTGAAGATATGACACTTTGCTACAATGTAATGTAGTGAGTGTACAGCTTGTATAAAAGTGTAAATTTGCTGTCCCCTCAAAATAACACAACACACAGCCATTAATGTCTAAACCGCTGGCAACAAAAGTGAGTACAACCCTAAGTGAAAATCTCCAAATTGGGCCCAAAGTGTCAATATTTTGTGTGGCCACCATCATTTTCCAGCACTGCCTTAACCCTCTTGGGCATGGAGTTCACCAGAGCTTCACAGGTTGCCACTGGAGTCCTCTTCCACTCCTCCATGACGACATCACGGAGCTGGTGGATGTTAGAGACCTTGCACTCCTCCACCTTCCGTTTGAGGATGCCCCACAGATGCTCAATAGGGTTTAGGTCTGGAGACATGCTTGGCCAGTCCATCACCTTTACCCTCAGCTTCTTTAGCAAGGCAGTGGTCGTCTTGGAGGTGTGTTTGGGGTCGTTATCATGTTGGAATACTGCCCTGTGGCCCAGTCTCCGAAGGGAGGGGATCATGCTCTGCTTCAGTATGTCACAGTACATGTTGGCATTCATGGTTCCCTCAATGAACTGTAGCTCCCCAGTGCCGGCAGCACTCATGCAGCCCCAGACCATGACACTCCCACCACCATGCTTGACTGTAGGCAAGACACACTTGTCTTTGTACTCCTCACCTGGTTGCCGCCACACACGCTTGACACCATCTGAACCAAATAAGTTTATCTTGGTCTCATTACATTTTAGTCATTTAGCAGATGCTCTTATCCAGAGCGACTTACAGTTAGTGAGTGCATACATTATTTTATTTTTATTTTTTATTTTTCATACTGGCCCCCCGTGGGAATCGAACCCACAACCCTGGCGTTGCAAACACCATGCTCTACCAACTGAGCTACATCCCTGCCGGCCATTCCCTCCCCTACCCTGGACGACGCTGGGCCAATTGTGCGCCAGCGTCTCATCAGACCACAGGACATGGTTCCGGTAATCCATGTCCTTAGTCTGCTTGTCTTCAGCAAACTGTTTGCGGGCTTTCTTGTGCATCATCTTTAGAAGAGGCTTCCTTCTGGGACAACAGCCTTGCAGACCAATTTGATGCAGTGTGCGGCGTATGGTCTGAGTACTGACAGGCTGACCCCCCACCCCTTCAACCTCTGCAGCAATGCTGGCAGCACTCATACGTCTATTTCCCAAAGACAACCTCTGGATATGACGCTGAGCACGTGCACTCAACTTCTTTGGTCGACCAATGGCGAGGCCTGTTCTGAGTGGAACCTGTCCTGTTAAACCGCTGTATGGTCTTGCCCACCGTGCTGCAGCTCAGTTTCAGGGTCTTGGCAATCTTCTTATAGCCCAGGCCATCTTTATGTAGAGCAACAATTCTTTTTTTCAGATCCTCAGAGAGTTCTTTGCCATGAGGTGCCATGTTGAACTTCCAGTGACCAGTATGAGGGAGTGTGAGAGCGATGACACCAAATTTAACACACCTGCTCCCCATTCACACCTGAGACTTTGTAACACTAACGAGTCACATGACACCGGGGAGGGAAAATGGCTAATTGGGCCCAATTTGGACATTATCACTTAGGGGTGTACTCACTTTTGTTGCCAGCGGTTTAGACATTAATGGCTGTGTGTTGAGTTATTTTGAGGGGACAGCACATTTACACTGTTATACAAGCTGTACACTCACTACTTTACATTGTAGCAAAATGTCATTTCTTCAGTGTTGTCACATGAAAAGATATACTCAAATATTTACAAAAATGTGAGGGGTGTACTCACTTTTGTGAGATACTGTATATTGTTCATGAAGGAAGCCAAGTTGTGTCATGATTCAAGGAAGCCAAATGTCAGTAACAGTCCACGGGTGTGCCTGTAGCCCTATGTGTGTATATATATATATATATATATACATACACACATACATATATATATATATATATACATACATACATACATACATACATACATACATACATACATACATACATACATACACAGTGCATTCGGAAAGTATTCAGACCCCTTCCCCACATTTTCTTATGTTACAGCCTTATTCTAAAATGGATAAAAAAAATCCTCATCAATCTACACACAATACCTCAATGACAAAGCGAAAGAAATGTTTGGAAATGTATAAAAAAAAAAAAAAAACATACCTTATTTACATAAGTATTCAGACCCTTTGCTATGAGACTCGAAATTGAGCTTAGGTGGATCGTGTTTCTACTGATCATCCTTGAGATGTTTCTACAACTAGTTTGAAGGAATTGTCTGTAGAGCTCCGAGACAGGATTGTGTTGAGGCACAGATCTGGGGAAGGGTACCAAAAAATGTCTGCAGCATTGAAGGTCCCCAAGAACACAGTGGCCTCCATCATTCTTAAATGGAAGAAGTTTGGAACCACCAAGACTCTTCCTAGAGCTGGCCACCCGGCCAAACTGAGCAATCGGGGGAGAAGGGCCTTGGTCAGGGAGGTGACCAAGAACCCGATGGTCACTCTGACAGAGCTCTAGAGTTCCTCTGTGGAGATGGGAGAACCTTCCAGAAGGACAACCATCTCTGCAGCACTCAACCAATCAGGCCTTTATGGTAGAGTGGCCAGACGGAAGCCACTCCTCAGTAAAAGGCACGTCAGCCCGCTTGGAGTTTGCCAAAAGGCTCCTAAAGGACTCTCAGACCATGAGAAACAAGATTTTCTGGTCTGATGAAACCAAGATTGAACTCTTTGGCCTGAATGCCAAGGGTCACATCTGGAGGAAACCTGGCACCATGTTTTTCAGCAGCAGGGACTGGGAGACTAGTCAGGATCGAGGGAAAGATGAACGGAGCAAAGTACAGAGAGATCCTTGATGAAAGCCTGCTCCAGAGCGCTCAGGACCTCAGACTGGGGCGAAGGTTCACCTTCCAACAGGACAACGATCCTAAGCACACAGCCAAGACAACGCAGGAGTAGCTTCGGGACAAGTCTGAATGTCCTTGAGTGGCCCAGCCAGAGCCCGGACTTAAACCCGATCCAACATCTCCGGAGAGACCTGAAAATATCTGTGCAGCAATGCTCCCCATCCAACCTGACAGAGCTTGAGAGGATCAGCAGAGAAGATTGGGAGAAACTCCTCAAATACAGGTGCACCAAGCTTGTAGCGTCATACCCAAGAAGATGCGAGGCTGTAATCGCTGCCAAAGGTCCTTCAAAAAAGTACTGAGTAAAGGGTCTGAATACCTATGTAAATGTGATATTTCCGTTTTTTAAAAACCTGTTTTTGCTTTGTCATTATGGGGTATTGTGTGTAGGGGAGGGAGGGAGGGAGGGGGTGTGTAGGGGAGGGGTAGGGGGGAGGGTGTGTAGGGGAGGGAGGGAGGGGGGGAGGGGGGGAGGGTGGTAGGGGAGGGCGGGTTGTGTGAGGGAGGGGGGGAGGGTGGAGGGGGTGCGTGGAGGGTGGGTAGGGGAGGGGGGGAGGGGGGGGTGGTGAGGGAGGGGGGGGAGGGTGTAGGGGAGGGAGGTGGTGTAGGGGAGGGGGGGAGAGGAGGTGTGAGGGGAGGAGGGAGGGGAGGGTGTAGGTGAGGGAGGGCGTGTAGGGGAGGGGTGAGGGAGGGTGTAGGGTGGGGGGGGGGGGGGAGGGAGGGGGGGGTGGAGGGAGGGAGGGAGGGGGGGAGGGGAGGGAGGGAGGGAGGGGGGGGAGGGGAGGGAGGGAGGGGGGGGGGGGAGGGGGGGGAGGGGAGGGGGGGGGAGGGAGGGACGGGAGGGGGGGGAGGGAGGGGGGGGGGGAAGGGGGGGGGAGGAGGGGGGTGGTAGGGGAGGGAGGGAGGGTGGGGAGGGGAGGAGGGAGGGGGGGGGGGGGGGGGGAGGGTGGGGGGGGGGGGGGGGGGGAGGGGGGGGGGGTGGGGGAGGGGGGGGAGGGGGGGGGGGGGGGGGGGAGGGGGGTGGAGGGGGGGTGGGGGAGGGGGGGGAGGGGAGGGAGGGGGGGGGTGAGGGGGGGGGGGGGGGGGGGGGGGGAGGGGGGGGGGGGGGGGGGGGGGGGAGGGGGGGGTGGGGGGGGGGGGGGGGAGGGGGGGGGGGGGGAGGGGGGGGGGGGGGGAGGAGGGGGGGGGGGGGGGGGGGGGGGGGGGGGGGGGGAGGGTGTAGGGGGTGGGGGGAGGGGTGAGGGGGTGGTGGGGGGGGGGAGGGTGGTGGGGGGGGGGGGGGGGTGTGGGGGGGGGGGGGAGGGTGTGTAGGGGAGGAGGGAGGGGGGTGTGTAGGGAGGGGGGGGCAATTTAATCAATTTTAGAATAAGGCTGTAATGTAACAAAATGTGAAAAAAGTCAAGGGGTCTGAATACTTTCCTAATGCACAGGAAGTCCAGCTGAGGCTGGAAGGGCTGAGTTGAGAGACCAGAGCTGCTGCCATTTCCGGGTCCAGGTCAACACATAAGACCTCCAGCTAGGAACAGGGGAGAGAGAGGGTCACTCAATAGGTTATTGTGTGGGTCAAAGGAAGTATCAGGGTATATCAATCTGTTGGGTTTTGAGAGCCATTGGTAAAAACCAGAGTCTGACATGAGGTGAAGCCCAGAAAGTTATCATAGGCTGTATTTGTGTAATGTTTGTGAAAACCTAATAAATGTATCATGATGTCATATCCAGCTGATTTCAACCCAGTCCTACAAAACCCAGTCCTACTCTATGGGCTACAGACTGAGATCAGCCTTGCTCTGGGTGGTCAGTGCACTAATGTGTTACCTGGTTCAGCTGACATTGAGACAGTGAGGTTGGGGATGTCAGTGATAATCTTCAGAAGCACCTGCTGGGCCCGGGTCAGAATTTGGGAGGGGTCCATCTGTGAGACCAAAACACAGATTCAGAAAAATGCCACTGTCAGTAGTTTGGTGACCACATTGAGGATGTATGATTATTAAACATGATTATCTGTGCTTTTTTTGCTAATCAAAGAAAGCTCACCTGATCAGTTGGGTGCTCGATCACAGGGCAGGAAGTCTGGCCATCCATAAACAGCTTGATAGGGGAGGAGTAGCAGAGCACAGCAGTGTGGAGGAACCCTGAGGTCTTCACTGTCCTCTTCAACATCTCAGAGTTAAGATGGGGGACCAGGCTGGGAGGGAAACAGAACACAATACACATACAGAACTCGCATATAAACGAGAAAATGGATGACAATACTGAGGACAGTGCTGACAGTTTGACCAAGTAAATATACCTGTAAAAGGATAAAGGCATCAGTCTTGTGTATTCATCTGGATGTTACCACGGCTACAGGCTGGTATAGGCCTTGTTCTTGATTTGAAAAAACTAAATATTATAAATACCCAATATAACATCAGAGACACAAAATGTTGTATGATAAACGTTGTAGTTATGTGGTGTTTTGTTAGTATAAAAGGTGTTTTAGTCTGTTGAATACATTACTATTACATTGTTTAGTATGTAGGGCTAGGAGTTCCTTGACCACGTGACCTAACCAAGAAAAACTCTTGGCATTGACTAAATCCCACAGCGCCCCCACCTTCCCCACCCACCCAAAAATAGAATAATAATTGCACTTGTCTTTTCCTACTAGCACTGACTTTGCTGATAACTACTTTATTGAGGAAAATGTACTTACTATGACTGTGAAATGTGGTTGTCCCACCTACAGTTGAAGTCAGAAGTTTACATATACCTTAGCCAAATACATTTAAACTCAATTCTTCACAATTCCTGACATTTAATCCTAGTAATAATTCCCTGTCTTAGGTCAGTTAGGATCACAACTTTATTTTAAGAATGTGAAATGTCAGAATAATAGTAGAGAGAATGATTTATTTCAGCTTTTATTTCGTTCATCACATTCCCAGTGGGACAGAAGTTTACATACACTCAATTAGTATTTGGTAGCATTGCCTTTAAATTGTTTAACTTGGGTCAAACGTTTCGGGTAGCCTTCCACAATAAGTTGGGTGAATGTTGGCCCATTCCTTCTGACAGAGCTGGTGTAACTGAGTCAGGTTTGTAGGCCTCCTTGCTCGCACACGCCTTTTCAGTTCTGCCCACACATTTTCTATAGGATGAGGTCAGGGCTTTGTGATGGCAACTCCATTACCTTGACTTTGTTGTCCATAAGCAATTTTGCCACAACTTTGAAGTATGCTTGGGGTCATTGTCCATTTGGAAGACCATTTGCGACCAAGCTTTAACTTCCTGACTGATTTCTTGAGATGTTGCTTCAATATATCCACATAATTTTCCTTCCTCATGATGCCATCTATTTAGTGAAGTGCACCAGTCCCTCCTGCAGCAAAGCACCCCCACAGCATGATGCTGCCACCCCCGTGCTTCACGGTTGGGATGGTGTTCTTTGGCTTGCAAGATCCCCCTTTTTCCTCCAAACATAACGATGGTCATTATGGCCAAACAGTTCTATTTTTGTTTCATCAGACCAGAGGACATTTCTCCAAAAAGTACGATCTTTGTCCCCATGTGCAGTTGCAAACCATAGTCTGGGTTTTTTATGGCGGTTTTGGAGCAGTGGCTTCTTCCTTGCTGAGCGGCCTTTCAGGTTATGTCGATATAGGACTTGTTTTACTGTGGATATAGATACATTTGTACCTGTTTCCTCCAGCATCTTCACAAGGTCCTTTGCTGTTGTTCTGGGATTGATTTACACTTTTCGGACCAAAGTACGTTCATCTCTAGGAGACAGAACGCGTCTCCTTCCTGAGCGGTATGACGGCTGCGTTATCCCATGGTGTTTATACTTGCGTACTATTGTTTGTACAGATGAACGTGGTACCTTCAGGCGTTTGCAAATTGCTCCCAAGGATGAACCAGACTTGTGGAGGTTTACACATTTTTTTCTGAGGTCATGGCTGATTTCTTTTGATTTTCCCATGATGTCAAGCAAAGAGGCACTGAGTTTGAAGGTAGGCCTTGAAATACATCCACAGGTACACCTCCAATTGACTCAAATGATGTCAATTAGCCCAACTGAAGCTTCTAAAGCCATGAAATCATTTTCTGGAATTTTCCAAGCTGTTTAAAGGCACAGTCAACTTAGTGTATGTAAACTTCTGACCCACTGGAATTGTGATACAGTGAATTATAAGTGAAATAATCTGTCTGTAAACAATTGTTGGAAAAGTTACTTGTGTCATGCACAAAGTAGATGTCCTAACCGACTTGCCAAAACTATAGTTTGTTAACAAGAAATTGTGGAGTGGTTGAAAAACGAGTTTTAATGACTCCAACCTAAGTGTATGTAAACTTCCGACTTCAACTGTAGCTATCTTAAGATGAATGCACTGACAAGTTGCTCTGGATAAGAGCATCTACTATATGCCAAAAATGTAAAATGTACCTAAGGCGTGAGAAAAGTTGTGAGGAGGTCGGTCACACAGAGGAGCAGCTGGAGAGAAATGGCAGCAGAAAGACAAGGAGAGCCTGAATGGCAGTTTCCCTGGTACTAATTCATTACTTAGAAGGGAGTCTCGTGACAATGATCACGTCTCTAATAGAAAACTGCTGAGTCGTTTCCCTAATCATTTGAGTCTCTGCTCCTGAATGATGAATCAGAAACTGTGTTTGTGTGAGGCCAAAGATTAGTGCTGAGCATGTGTGTCAGTGTTTCACTAATATGTCACAACTACCAAAACATTCCAATAATATATTCCAAGAATCCTACAGTTGCAGCCAAATATATTGACACCCTTGCACTTTTCTTAAATAATTCCCAATTTATTCTAAAATAAATTATGGGGGAGGTTTGATGATGCTGTGGGGTTGCTTTGTTGCTTCTGGTACTGGGGGCCTTGAATGTGTGCAAGACGTCATGAAATCAGCAGATTATCAAGGTGGAGTGCAACGTTCAACCCAGAGTTAAAAAACTGTCTCTGATGAAGGTTGTGGGTCTTCCAGTAGGACAACAACCCCAAACACACATAAAACGCACGCTGGAATGGTTCAAGAAGAAACACTGGACTGTTCTGGAGTGGCCAGCATAGAGTCCAGATCTGAATCACATCCATAACCTATGGCGAGATCTGAAAACAGCAGTTGGTGGAGGCCAACCCGTCAAACATCGAAGAATTAGAGCAGTTTGCTGCTGAAGAGTGGGCCAAATTGCCAGTAGAATGGTGCAGCAAGCTCATTGATGGCTACAAGAAGCAAATGTTGGCTGTTATCTTATAATATAATATAATATAATATGCCATTTAGCAGACGCTTTTATCCAAAGCGACTTACAGTCATGCGTGCATACATTTTTGTGTCTGGGTGGTCCCGGGGATCGAACCCACTACCTTGGCGTTACAAGCGCCGTGCTCTACCAGCTGAGCAACCAAGTGCAACCAAGTACTAGCTCTGGGTTGCCAATAATTTTGTCCATGCCATTTGTCTTTATTTGTCATTTATTTTTGTCAACTTAGGTTTACAAAAATAAATTGGTTCTGCAATGTTGAAAATCCAATAGATTATAGGGAATTATTTTAACAAAGTACAAGGGTGCCAATATATTTAGCCACAACTTTATATATTAAGAAACCTGCGTTTGTGTGGGTTTCTTTTTCTTTGAACATTGACCTCTGTCCTTTAGGTGGTGTGAAATAGATTTTCTCAATTCACTGTGTTACGTGTCCACTCCATCAACGCTTACAAACATGGCTAATGAACCTATTGAACAAACATCTAGGTTGAGTTTGAAAAACTTGATGATAGGGAAAAGAAGTGTCCTCACCTGTCTGTGCTGCTCTGCCATCTGTCCCAACATCTCCAGGCTTGCCCTGGCCCTGGCCCTGGCCACTCCCATACACAGGGCAGACAGGCTGCCAGGAGCAGGGGCGGGGCAGAGGGGACAGGGCATGACACCCCCTTCATTGAACTGCCAAAGAGACAGCACAAGAACTCAATCAATCATCACTCTCAAAAATAACATTTAGTTTGTATAGGAGTATTATCAGTAAATGTTCTATATACACAGGCATGTACGCATGATCCTGTGTTACCTGTAGGCCCACAAGTGACAGTCAGCCAGGACCTGCAGCTGCTGAGGCTGTCCGTCAGTAAGGCGACACCAGAGACACCAACACGGGAGAGACGGCCCCACCAGTGCTGTCCAACACACACACAAATTACACTCGGTCAGCATCATACATTAAAACGCTCAGATTAAGGTGTACATCACCTCAGATTAACAAACAGACATGTGATCCTGGTAGTACACCAGCAGAGACGAGGAGCCTTGGACAGTGAAAACTGATCAGGGACATGGCTTTGTTCACTTCTCCTGATGGACAGTCACAGCTCACACTGGCCATGAGCACAGCCTATGAAAAATAAAAAGAAGGTAGATATTCCAATTTATTATGATAAATATCACAATATGTTGTTAACACGGTCTACCCATGTCTATAGCAGTACAGTTAATAATCTAAGAGTGGAACAAATTTACTGTTAAGAAGTGTGCTGTGAGATGGTAAGGCAGCAGGCCAGCTGGGGAGCAGCCCTTCCTCTGATATACGATAATGATAAAATCTGGGAAACACATCATAGTATTTCTGTAAAAAAAAAAAAGGGTCTTGATTTCGACAGGTTTGGTCAAGATGAGAAGTGAACTATGGATTCACACATGGATTCAGACTGTAGATACAATACATTAGCTTTAATGAATGATTAATATATCTAAACTTAATCATCCTGCTCTGTTATAGTCCATCTCTCCCTCCCTCTCTTAACCCCCATATGGACACACCTGATACTGGTTGATATGTTCCATAATGGTCTCACAGTCCACAGTCCTCTTCACTCTGATATCAAAACAAAGGGAGATACTGAACTGACTTCAACAATGTATATTGGAATAATTAGAATGATCTGGGGTACAGATCAGTCCAATACTGACCCCGTCTGCTGGTCCATGATGGCGTTGAGAATGTGTGAGCAGACTGTCCTCATGTCTCCTGCACAGCCACCTTGGTCCTCAGGAGAGGGAAGGTAAGCTGCTGACACGCCCGCTGCTGGTACTCCTGTCTGATACACACAGGCTCTGTTACATATGCAACACATCAATATATACCAAAATGAATCTGTGTGTTGCTTATTAAGGCATGTGCTTCACCTATCTGGGTCAGACAGGGCATCCTCACTCCTCTGCACTCTGAGTTCAGCTGCAAGCCACTCTGAAAATGACAACTTGACAAAGACGACAAATTACTATAAGATGTATCATCAATATCAGCCACTGTGTTCCAAAGAGGCACAGACAACTTTGAGGAGGTCTATGCTTTACGACAAGGTTTTAGACAGGGCATGTTTTAATCTGTTGCCTCACCTGGTATTCTGGGAGTTTTACTAGGAGACGGAAGGGGGGCGTGTTTCCATAACGCCAAGGCAGATTTCCTCCCAGTCGTATTTGTGTCAGTAACACTCTTCCACAACCCATGATTATCCTCCTCACCCTGTCCGTCTGTCTCCACATACTCAGATTCCCCACTCGCTTCAATGGGCAACCTCCTCACATCTGGCATTAGTCTGGAAATTAGGTACAGCATTTGCAAATATACACGCATACATGCACACACACCAATTCAGGCTGCAGCGATTATACTGCTGCTGCGGTTCAAACTGTGACTCACTCCTGCAGAGCCCATAGCACACTGCAACCACGCAGAACCTGGCCAACAAAAACAAAGCTGTCCACATAAATACATATTATGATAGCACTGTCCTATCGAGCTAAAGTTAACTGTGCCTTTTGGTTTACAATATACTGTATAATTAGCATAATGTCATCCTAGATGCTGAGGGTCCCTCTCCAGTCTCACCCACCTAACACAGAAGAGCATGTTGGTTTGGGTGGTGCAGGGCAGGGTAGTGGCCAGTGCCTCCGAAACAGACACAGGGCCGGGCAGCAGGGGTGGGCACAGCTGCACCAGGGGGCACTGGGCCTGGGAGGCATGAAGGTGCACAACTCTATAGGGAATGACAAAAGAAGACTACGTTTTAAGAAAAAGGAGGGGGGGGGGGGGTAAGAAAGAGAGAGAGAGAGCAAGAGAGAGAGGGAAAATGAGATGGAGAGAGCGAGAGAGAAAATGAGATGGAGAGAGAGAGAGGTGTCTTGGGTCACAGAGCACATTAAGCTCAAAGGAGAGAAGTGCAGTTTTATGCTGACTTGCAGTTACACTTGTGGAGGCTAAGAAGCACATAATATACACAACTATGTGCAGATGGACTGTAAAGAAAATCAAGTAGTGACAATTCTGTATTATTCCTCTCCAAATCTCACTCTTCCATACATCTTTCATATTTTGACTGAGTGACATGATTAGTTCCTCACTTATTTGGTGGGCTTATTCTGGAGGCGTCCAAAAGGCTCTGGCAGAAGCTACTGAGGATCATGTTCACCACCTGAACAAAGACAGGACAGACAGACAGGCAGTGTGAGAGACAGAAACAGTGAGCTTGTCAGACCAACCAGTTCTTTAGCACATTCAGTGAACACAATACAGTGTGTGAGAGATCCTGGCCAGCTGGGCAGACAACTCTGTGAAGTCAGAGAGAATAAGACTATTTTGATTTCTATGTGTGTTTGTTTTTGTTTAACTATTTGAACAACAAACAACACACACAAAACATCTGTATCAGTCTCAAAGCTATTACAGAAAACTGTATGGTAATTCAGTGGTTGTATGGCTGTGAGTGTGAATACCAGAACTGTCACGTTCGTCGGTAAGAGAGGAGGACCAAGGCGCAGCGTTGAATGCGAACATATTTATTATAGGTGATACACGAATAAAACGATAACGTGACAGTCAACGGTCTAACACAAACCAACTAGAACAAGATCCCACAACTATTGTGGGAAAACAGCCTGTTTAAATGTGGTTCCCATTTAGAGACAACCAGCCACAGCTGACACTCGTTGCCTCTGATTGAGAACCACACTGGCAACATAGAAAAGAAACAACTAGACCTACAACACAGAAATCTACACACCCTGGCTCAACATAACAGTGTCCCCAGAGCCAGGGCGTGACAAGAACTTACTTTTTGAGTGAATCTATGAAATTCATCCTGATATCAGGCTTCACAGGAAGCTGAAATTGACAGAGACAAAGAATACAATATCTGGACAGAGCAAGTAAACACACAATTCATTTTAAAGCAAGAGAGCATAAGACTTACCACACGTGGAGTTAGGAGGGCAGGGAGGAAAGGAGTCAGGAAATATGGCCTTCTGAAAATGCTGGAGTAGGAAAATAGTGCAAGTCTGGCGACACATAAAAAAAGACACAGTGCAGAACACAATACGATACGTAAGTCATCAGTACATTGATCTCAATAGGTGATTTGTGAAAGTTATGTAGCATGTTGATGCTATATTTTTAGGGTACCTACCTGGCCTCCATGATGACTGTGGCAGATATCCTTTCTGTGCTCTCAAACAAAGAGACTGCTTTGTCCACATCCTGACGCGCCTGACACTGGGGCTGAGAAGGCAGATTGCACACATACACAGACTGATACACACATGATGAACACATGAAAAACATTAATTGAAGAGACGGCACACAAATACAACCAGCAGAGGGCGCTCAACCCTGCACAAGAGCTCCTGCCCCAGAGACATCCTCATAAAGGCCCATCTCCACCACTGAGACCTGCAGACTGAAGGATGGGGACCCTGTTTATACAGCTGGAGGAGAGTAGATGAATGGGCTGCATGATGAGAGGGTTTGTGGTATGGCAGGTCAACCAGTCAGAGTTAGTTACATTGTAATAACTGGATTGTCTCAGCTGATCTATGTACGCCTCACATAATGGTTCAGTGACTCTACGCCCTACCTTCAGGTCAGACTCTGATCTTGGCAAGGGACACATACTCCTGTAGGAGGGCCCAGTGTTTCACAACCACGTAGGGCGGATGGAGGATGTGGATCTGAGAGACCAGACCACCCAGAGACATTAGGAGTCAGAACCACACAGACTAAAGGCCCAGTCCAGCAGTAAAGTGTTAAAGCAGAGCCAGAGTATCTGTCACATGACCTTCAGGTACTGCGGGGTGTCAAAGGACACTATGTCCGACAGGAACTTCAGCAGGAACACCAAAGACTTCTTACTGTTCCCATGGTAACTACTGGCACCGCCGAAAGACATCTAGGATGACAGGAGAGAAGTCAACTTTGTCTAAAAGGTCCAAACATAAGACGAAAGGGGACCAACATATTGGTATTCCAGTAGCCACTAACTAAACTCTGAGGGGACTTGCCTTAAACCACTCGCTGTAGGAGGGGAAAACACCAGGCCCTTCCAGTGCACCCCGGCGGGCCAGGAGGAAAGCAGTGATCATGTTCTCCAAGTCATACCCCTCAAATGCTGAGCTTAGCAGCCTGGACAGCAGCTCTGATGTACAGAGAGAGAAATGTCATAGGAGGAGCATTGTTGGAAATAACAAAGTGTGTCTGTGTGTGTGTACACCTTTGAGGTTGGTTGTTTGGATTGTACACGGAGAGACAGGAGAGCACATGCTGCCAGTTAACCTCATGTGTCTCTAGTACTTGCTGCAGGTGAGACAGCAGCTCCTCTACCTTGAATATCACTGCCAACTAGGACAAAGAGAAAGAGAAAGGGCTAGATGTTATATAACACCACAGACACAGTCACATCACAACTCTCTATTATAAGGGTTACACTTGTTATTCTATAGACCGGTTTTAACATACCCTACTGTAATTTCACAATGTCCTATAAAAACGCCCTAATTTCATATCTCACACCCACAGGTACATCATCATTCACTTCAGATGTATGTGGTCAGTCACACAGACAATACCTCACAAACAACTACATGACAAAATACATATTTGGAAGAGCAGCTCACATTAATCAGACAGGGTAATGTATTTATAGATGTACTAAGGTATTTATAGATGTTTCTTTAGAACAGAGCAGAACACCAGTCATTTACCTTACGAAACAAGGAGGTCAACAGTATGCAGGTTTTAGCAAAGCCCCACTCTCTTTGCATGGCAATAGCATCAGATACTATGGAGAATATACAGTGGGGAAAAAAACTATTTAGTCAGCCACCAATTGTGCAAGTTCTCCCACTTAAAAAGATGAGAGAGGCCTGTAATTTTCATCATAGGTACACTTCAACTATGACAGACAAATTGAGAAAAAAAATCCAGAAAATCACATTGTAGGATTTTTAATGAATTTATTTGCAAATTATGGTGGAAAATAAGTATTTGGTCACCTACAAACAAGCAAGATTTCTGTCTCTCACAGACCTGTAACTTCTTCTTTAAGAGGCTCCTCTGTCCTCCACTCGTTACCTGTATTAATGGCACCTGTTTGAACTTGTTATCAGTATAAAAGACACCTGTCCACAACCTCAAACAGTCACACTCCAAACTCCACTATGGCCAAGACCAAAGAGCTGTCAAAGGACACCAGAAACAAAATTGTAGACCTGCACCAGGCTGGGAAGACTGAATCTGCAATAGGTAAGCAGCTTGGTTTGAAGAAATCAACTGTGGGAGCAATTATTAGGAAATGGAAGACATACAAGACCACTGATAATCTCCCTCGATCTGGGGCTCCACGCAAGATCTCACCCTGTGGGGTCAAAATGATCACAAGAACGGTGAGCAAAAATCCCAGAGCCACACGGGGGGACCTAGTGAATGACCTGCAGAGAGCTGGGACCAAAGTAACAAAGCCTACCATCAGTAACACACTACGCCGCCAGGGACTCAAATCCTGCAGTGCAAGACGTGTCCCCCTGCTTAAGCCAGTACATGTCCAGGCCCGTCTGAAGTTTGCTAGAGTGCATTTGGATGATCCAGAAGAGGATTGGGAGAATGTCATATGGTCAGATGAAACCAAAAAAGAACTTTTTGGTAAAAACTCAACTCGTCGTGTTTGGAGGACAAAGAATGCTGAGTTGCATCCAAAGAACACCATACCTACTGTGAAGCATGGGGGTGGAAACATCATGCTTTGGGGCTGTTTTTCTGCAAAGGGACCAGGACGACTGATCCGTGTAAAGGAAAGAATGAATGGGGCCATGTATCGTGAGATTTTGAGTGAAAACCTCCTTCCATCAGCAAGGGCATTGAAGATGAAACGTGGCTGGGTCTTTCAGCATGACAATGATCCCA